TGGAGATGAGGGAATGTGTGTGGCCCGGGAAACGGTCCAGGTCAGAGGAAAGAGCTAAATCAGTAAGAAAGACACAAATGACGAGTGAGATGGGAAGGAAAATGCGTGACGTCCCGGATTCAAGGTAGAGACGGTGTCAGGCGAGGGGGTGGCGAACTGCCTGGGTGTCCTCGAGCTGACGCGAGGCGGGGACCAAGCACGCCGGTGCGGGTTTGGGGTTGGCCTTCTAGGGGGAAGGCGGGGCGCGTGAGCACAGAGGCTGGTGGGTGGGTGGACGTGATGGTGGGATTTTGAAGTTCTCTTCTGATGACTTCGATTTTCCTATTGACATGAACACTAATAGTATCTATCACCTGGTATTGCTTTGAAAATAGGAGTTTTTCTTTTTCTTCTAAAGCACTTAGAATAGTTGCTGGCGCATATAGTTAATACAGTTTAGTGTGAGCTTCAGCTTTACCTTCTTTTAAGATGGGATTTTTAAGATGATCCTTTATTGAAGAGTAGCGCACACGCGCACACGCGCACACACGCACATTCGCAAATAAGCGTGTAGCTCGATGAGCGATCGCAAAGCGGACACCCTTGTGTACCACACCCGCACTGAGAAACAACGCTATAGTGGCACGTGCTCGGTTTTCTGGTTTGCTTTGTTTTTTTTTTCCTCCCTTAAATGTCCTTAGTTCAAAAAATAGAAAGCTAGTCATCCCTGTGTCAGGACCCAGGATATTTTTGAAAATTTTCCTGGCTTGTGAACCCCACCAGGCCGATAATATGTTTCGGACCGAGGACTCCAGTGACCCTTACTGGGCCGTCCTGCTGCAGGACAAGGGAGCCAGTTCCCAGATGTGCTGTTAGTTTCCGGTCATGAGAAAACTTCGAAACCGTGACGTGATCCAGTTCCTTGGAAGTTCCCCAGATGAGCCCGAATGAGTGACTCTACTCTTAAGTTATGAAAACCACTATCTTGAAAGAATTTCAGATTCTTGAAGATAAAATGTTAAGCACGCATTTCCTGAGATTAGTCACGAACCCTTTTTTTCTTCGTCCCCTCAAAAGCAGGCCTTTTCCCTTACGCTGTCTCCCCGGTCCAGTTTCCCCATGATGCTGTAAGGTGACACGTCCTAGGACGCGTTGGTCACTTAGTCTGTGTCAGTCGGTAGTGGCCACCTGCATTGTCGCCCGCCCCGCCCCGTCCCCCGGAGGTGAGCCACGACGCTGAGGGATGCTTAGCTAGTGGGCTTTCCTCAGGAAAGCTCGTGTCTTAGGCTTTTGCCAAATCGTTTGGTGTGGTTTCCCGCACACACCCTCATACACAAGCACGTGCGTGCACACGCACCCTGTATTTGTGGGCCTTGTTTATTACCTTCTCCATTGAGGGCACTTTTGTCTGCTGCCAGCACTGCCTGTGACCTTGCTCGTTTTCGTGTTTAGTTTTCTGGGCGCCGTGCCTGGTGCGATGTCGGTTTGCACGTGCTGATTGCTGGAGCTGCCATGTCGTAGGGCTGGGAGCTGTCTGCCCTTGGTCACAGTGCTGTTTAATGCCTGGTGTTTAAGGAACCCCAGTTCCCACCCCCAGGGAGACCCGTGACCTGTTTTCATTGATAAGCAAACTAGGAAGAAAACGCAGACACGTCTTTGGAAGTTAACTTTATTAGATGAAGATAGCATACAAAATACATTCATAGTGACTAGAGATGTAGAACCATATCATGTCTGTCTTATATCTGCAGCATATATATTCTCGGTTGTATAAAAGTAACTTTAAAATTCCAGTTTCCTTAAATAGTTCTGCACAAACACACACACACACACGTGTCTGTCTATGTACACGGTCACTCCCACCGTCGGTCAGAGACGTGCTCAGGTGAGGGGCCACCACGGAGCCGCATCGCGTCCCGCTCGGCGTTCTCCCGGGCCGGGACCGAGGCTTCGCCGGATGGCCGAGCGGTGCGTCTCGGGGTTTGAGCAGCTCTGCTCCGTGGCCACCGCGGAGGTCCGAGCGTCATTTCTTAGAGCGGATCTACGCCTGCACGTGCTTCGTCCCGTCCCGCCCGCCCGCGCTCAAAATCCCGAAAGGCTGTGCTGCTGCTTTCACCGTCCGTGCCGACCGCTCCTGGCCCAGGTGACAAAGGGCTCTAAGAACACCGGCAGTTAATTAGTGTCTTAATTTCTAGTGCTGCTTTCGTGAAGCAGTCTGAGCAGGCGCTTGGCAGCTACGCATAGTACTCATCACCGCGGGCCTCCATCTTTCTGTGAAGACTGCAGCTGGGAGCAGGTGGTGACGATGGCCTCCTGCAGGCTCCAGCCCGGAGCCGTAAGCTGAATGAATGTCGTTCTAACAGATGTCTGTCCTTTAGTAGGATGGTGTCACTAAGGTCTCGTAATGATTAGGAATTAGATGATCGAAATCGAGGTGTTATACACAGAGCTAAGGTCTTCCTTGGTTTTCACTAATTGCTGGATCCTGACCTGATGTGAAAACACGCGGGAGCTGACGGAGGTCTCTCACTGCCCCGGGGCCTCACCTCCCAGCCACTGGCGTCACAGGAGCGTGTGCGCACGCGGAGGCGCGTGGACGAAGCTTCCCCTGTGGCCTGGCTGCGTCTGGACTGGCCCTCAGCGGAGGGGCCTGACCCAATGCTCTGCCGGCCAGAGGCCCCCGCAGCGGGGCCACCACAGGGCCCACCGACTCCCCCCTCTCTCCAAAGAACCTCAAAACTAGACTGTGACGCATGGAGAAGGCAGCACAGACTCTTCTCTTACTTCTATTTCTGGTTCTAGAGTTAAGCTACACGCATAATGGGAAACACACGTTTCTCTACCAGAAGCCACAGTTCCCTGCGGCCCGTCCGGCCCTGGCTGGCCTCGGGAGGCGCAGAGCCCGCGGCGTGGCGTGGGGCCTTGGGCCCCGCGGCGTGGCGCCCTGTTGCACCCCGGCCCCCATCCCATCCTCGGCCACAAGGCGGAGGGAGAGAGGCCTCTCCGACTGCTGTCTGGCTGACCCCGAGTCCCCGCTCTAGAAATATCTTGCATAGATTACATACCGCCTTCCCTCAAAGAGCATAAAGTGCTTAGTAAACATAGATTAATGCTCTACCTCATCTTCCCAGGAGACAAACGTGACACGGTGGACTCTGCTAAGAAGGGACCGCGGCCGACTGTCCCTTGGGTCTGAGCTCATGGTGGGTGGCCTGCTTGGCACAGAGATGCGGCTTTCACCCGCCTTCCCGTGACCCCCTCGGCCCAGTTCCAGGGGGAGAGAACCCCAACAGCACTGTTCCCCCTCGCCCGGCTCCCTGTACCACCAGCCACACAAAACGCTGAGCTGTGTCTCCAAGACACACCACACTCAATAGAATCTGACGTTCCATTTTGAGACAAATGGCACTTATTCCAGTTAGCTTCCTGTGAGCCTTCTGCCACTGTGCCATGGAGCCAGCTTAGATCGGGGCGACTTCTCCATGTCCCCTTACAGCGGCCAGCAGCGTGGCCTCAGATTTGAGCACCACCCGCAGCGCTAGAAATAAAAAATGTGCCCTGTGTGGGCTGGGCAGAGACCCGGCCCTGTAGCTGGAGTCTAAAATTTGCTTTGTAGTTCCAAAAAATGTTTGTCTTTTTCTTGCCTCTCGGAATCCAAAAACTGTCCCCTCATCCCTCGGTCCTGTGTGCTCCCAGCTGGGTTTCCCGATGGGGACCGGATCGGATCGGGTCCCTGTGGGCGCTGCAGCAGGCCTCTCCTACCCCTCCCCACGGTCCGGCCCCAACCCTCCCTCCTCGGGCCCTGTCCTGGTCCCTCCTCCCTCCTCACACGTCACGTCCACCAGAGGCCCCCCGGAGACCCACTCGGCCTTGGTGGCCCTGGTTCTCGGGCCGCGTGGCCTGGCCAGTGTATCTCCCGCGTCGTCCGAGGCCGTGAGCCCGTGGCCTCGGCCTGAGGAGCGGGCCAGGCCGCGGGCCCAAAGGGCTCCTACACACCGAGTGAGGCGGGGGCCGGCGGGGTCTTCGCTTGGCACCGTCACTGTTTATCTGGGGTTACATTCTTGTTAGTCAAAAGAAAAAGGCACGACTGAAAATCACAAGCAGCTGGCTCCTGTGGAAAGGCAGAGGTGTCAATTCAAACGTGGATAATACTGGCAAAAGCTAGTTTTCTGGAGATATAAATACACATGTGGGTCTGGCAATCGGGCGTCGTGGCCAGCGTTAGACAGGAGGCGTGGCGTACAAGACCACCGAGTTGTAGTCCGGGGGCGGGGCGCAGCACGACATCTCCCTCTCCAGCTCGCAGTTGTCGTAGGTGAATCTGCGCCTGCCCGCGGCGCCGTGCCCACAGCCGGGGTGGCAGAAGGCAGGCCTGCCGAGGTCGCAGAGCCCCGACTCCTTGCTTCTACTGGTCACTCTCAAGCTAAAGGGAAAAAGGGAAAAATCAGTAGAATTGATTTCTTGAAATCAAACCCTAAAATCCCCCTTTCTTTACGTGTCATTTGTCCGTCACTCAGAGAGCTGACGGCTTTGAATCCTGTCTCAACCCCTGGTCACACTCCCTCTGTTCCAGAGTGGCCCTGCCCGCTGCCGCCAGCACAAGGTGCCGGGCGGAAGGTGCTCCACTGGCTGGGGGTGGGCTGGGGGAGCAGACGATGCGAACCCTGAATTCCATGGGGGGAAATAACTCCGAGACCTGGGCAAAGCCCACCTCGTCCCGGGTGCAGGCTGGAAGATGCTCCCGCCCCCCAAACTCTGACGTCAAGGCCCGAGACCTCTGAGCAGCGGACCAGAGGCGCCACCCAGCAGAAGGCCTTTGGAGGGGGCTGCGCCTGGGTCGTCCAGGTGGGCCCTGGAGGCCACGCGTGCACCCCGCTGAGAGGCGGAGACAGGCGGCCCGGAGCCCCCAGCAGCTGGCAGAGTCAGAGGACGCGTTCTCCCGCGGAGCCTCTGGAGGGAGCACGGTCAGCACCGTGGTTTCGCAATAAATTCCGCTTGTTTTAGCCGTCAGGTTCGTGGTCTGTGACAGTGGCTTCGAAAAGTGAACACAGCTTCACACCGAAAGCTTGCTGCGCTGCCCGCCACGCTCGTGCTCTGGAAGAGGACACTTGAAGTCGGGGTCTGCACGTCACCGACAGGGCTCGAAAGTGAAGAGACTGCTTCTGGGTCCTGTACGTCGCGTGCAGCCTCAGATGGACATGCGGGCGGAGGAGGGGGACCTCCTTGTCCCTTCGTGTCTGCTGACTCTGGTGGTGGGGACGACGACGAGGGGCCTGTGCAGGGCCGCGTCCGGTTGGTCCCGGGCCGGCTCGTCGAGCCTTCGCTCCGTGTTCTGTGTTTTCGGCCTCCGAGCAGAGGAGACACATGTGGTGTCCTTATTCACGAAGACCCAGACGCACGGGGCCACCTGTCTTCGGTAACGTCCCAAACAGGAAACAGCGCGCGGGGCCCTCGTCTTTCCCGACGCGCCCCCTCACCGGTGCCCCCGCCCCGCTGGTCCCAGGACTCCAAGGGTCGACTCTGGTGCCACCGCGGCACTCGGGGCAAAAGGGCACTCGTGCGGCTTGCCCGGAGACGTCCCCGAGTTCGCTCGTGGTGGGTGCGGCGTGCTGTCACCGAGAGGCGTCGGTGGCCCCCTCGGTTTAGCGCGGGGTCAGCAAGTACAGCTAGTGCTCTGGTCACCTGTCTGTTTAAACAGCAGCTTTATCGCGATACGATCGGCATGCTACACAAGTCGTCTATGTCCGGTGCACGGGTCAGCGCCACCATCACCACAGTCAATGTTCGGACACTTTCATCGTCCCCCAGAAGAACGCCAACCCCTTTCTACGCCCAGTTGCCGCTCCTCCCCACGCCTCCCTCCGCCGTCTGCCCACTGTGCGCGTGGCACTGTGTGACCGGCTTCCACGTAACACCGTCGAGGTCCATGCACGCTGCAGCAGGGGTCGGTGCGGCGTACTTTTTACTGACAAATGGCATCCTGCTGTGTGGGCCTGCTGCGTCATCCACCCATCAGCTGACGGACGTCTGGGTAGCTCCACTGTGGGTCGTTATGAACCACACTGCTAAGAACCTGTGTGTACACGTGTTTGTGGGGACGTACTTTCCACTTTTGTTCGCACGCACGGAGGGTGGAACCGTGGGTCGCAGAGTTAACTCTGCTTGGCACCCAGAGGAGCTGTGAGCCTTGTCCGAGGTGGCTGCGCCCCTGTGCGTCCATCCCGCCGGCACTCTGCGTGGTTCTCCCTCCTCCGCACCCTCACCTGCGCCGGCGTCCTGCTTCTGGCCGTCCAGGGCGTGGGCAGTGGTACCTCTGAGGCTTTGGGTTGTGTTTCCCTTACGACTGATGATGCCACGGGTGCAGTGGCCCACGGGTGCGGTCCATGGGGACACAGCCACACCTCCTTGCTTCCGTGCTGTCCAGGGCCGCTCTCATCCGACAGTGCCACGGTGGGGTTGTTTACTCTCTGGCCCCTCAGGGAAAAGTCTGCTGACTTCTGGTCTAGATGCAAGAGGACTGGCTCCGCGTGTAGCCGATGCGGGTGGGCAGTGGAGCCAGGAAGGGCAGGAGCGCCTGGCAGGCCCAGCAGTAGCCCCAGGGAGAGACGAGACGGTGGGTGGGGCACACGGCCAGCGCAGGAGGCGGGTGGGGCACATGGCCAGCACGGGGAGGGGCCAAGGCCTGAGTTATGCCGACCCCGGCCGCTGCACAGAGGGAGGGGTGCCAGGACTGCACAGGAATCGGGCCCTCATCTGAAGGGCTGGGGTCCCAGGACAGCACATCTTAGGACGGAGGCTGGCACTGCAACCCGTCCCATGACACGCTGCGAGCGCGGAGCCTCGGGTGGCCAAGCACACCTCCATCCACCGCCTGTCCTGCGCCCAGGTGGGCACCAGGCTCCTTTCCGCTCTGCGGCATGTGCTGGGCCTGCCTGTTCTCGCTGGAATGTTCCGCACGTTCTCTCTCCTTAAACCCCAGTGTCCCTTCCTAGATCTTGGTGCTCATGTGTCTGATTTTATGTCCTCCTTGTTCTTTTCGGGAACACAAAAACGTATTTTCCTGCCGTGCCTGAACCCTGTGGTGGGGAGGGCCCCTAGCTCTCGAGTGCCCCATTAAACCCACTCCAGCACGGCCCTCACGCCCCACCCACCGGCCGCAGGAAGACGCCCCCTCCTCACCTGGTCTTCAGCGAGGCCGGGGCTTTGCTCTCAGTCCATGTGAAGCGCTTCAGCAACGGGGAGGCCAGCAGAGCGCTGTTGTCCGCCCGGTGGCCCTGGCAGGGACAAAGGGACAAGTTACATGTCTTGCTTGGCCCAGAGGGGCCCACACTGAGCCCGGGGGGATGACCTGGGGGGTGCACATCTGAAGCCCCTCCAGGCCCCGTCCTCGCCTTCCACAGACCCTGCCCCTTAGGACAAAGCATTCCGTCTATACTGACAAGCCTAAACTTTGTCCGTTGCAAGAAATGCCTGTTACCAGTGACTCTGAGGCCCTTCTTCCTGAAGGCGAAGAAGATAAACTAAAGGGGCAACTGCAGGTAACAGGAGCATTTTTCACGGTAACTTTTATGCCGTCACTGCCAGAGCACGTGGAGACTGACTCCGGCTGATGGTGACTGGCAGTGAGCGTGCTGCTCGCTGCTCGGTGGCCACGACCCACAGAACTTCTGAGACGCTATGAACACGCGGCTTAATTTCTTCCCCTGAAGATGCAGGAGCTCTCCAGGCCCTTCTCGACCGTGGCTTCCAGCACTCCATTTCCTTGGTTCATCTTTCACGTTGAGTTTTTCGCAGAGTCCTCGGCACTGGGTTAATGCAGCATTCCAGGAAGGGGGGCCACACTGACCCTGCCACACTCGAGTGTGTTGCTGGGCTGTGTTCACGTCCCTGTCAGTAAAGCAGCCTGAGCGAGCGAGGCCAGGCAGGGCCCTGGAAACAGAAGCCTTCCCTGTCTGCTGACTACTGGGAGCCAGCATCTCTGGCCCACTTAGTGGCAAAGGCGTGTACCCGATGTCACGCCGTGAGTGGCAGGGCCCGTGAGGCCCTCCCTCTCCCCACTTATCCTCTCGTCCCATGTCCCGGAGCTTTCAGGGGACAAACTGGTCGAGCCTCTTGTTCGCCGGGCTGCGTGCACTGCTCTACCCTGGGTGGCCAGGGAGGAATGTGGCTGTCCGGCCTCCAGACGCAGTGGGACGGAGCACAGGCCTAGGCGCTAGGCAGACCCCTTCCAGTCGAGGGCTGGGGCCCTGGAGTGAATGCTGAGTCACCCTCCAACTCCAGAGTGACCTGCTTTCGAATGAGTGCCGTGTTGCTAAGTCCTGTCGCCGGTCCCCCTGAAACTGCCATTCCAGCCACCACTCGTCACCGGCCCCCGCTGACTGCGAGGCGCCAGACTGCTGGAGTCTGTGTGTGGGCGCAGTGTGGCAGACGCTCCCGCTGGGGTGCACTGAGCAGCTTCATGCCACTACTTACGTGGAGCATGGAGGTGGCGACCGGGGAAAGTTCTTCGAAGGTTTTGATTCTTTCCAGGCTCATGAAATGGAAAGCATTCACATATCTAATGAAGAAGCGGATAGAAAAATCAGGACAGGAAATGCGTCCAGCTCCCATTAGTCAGGAGACCGCGCGGGCCCTGTATCCCAGCTAAGAGGAACCGAAATGCAGGAAGAAACCCCCTCACCCCCGCGGCTGAAATGCTCCCGCCGTGTCCCCTACAGGTCCTGGCGGCAGTGACGCCGCTTCCTCCTGTGGTTGATAATCCACACTGCAGAGTTTTGAGCAAAACCCTGGGGGGCCTGACACACTCGGTGGTGGCATGAACTCTAGGCCCTTGTGGAATCGGAAAATGTCGGCCTAGGGGAGCGCTGAGTCATCGCCCGGTCTGAACACCCTGCGTGACGAGGGAGAGGCGTGGCTTTGCCACGTGGCTGCCCACTTCTAAAGAGATGTGAGGGGACAAGAGACAAGGCGTCGCCAGGCCGCCAGCTGGTGTAACGGTATGGCCGAGGACTAGGGCTCCCAAGAGACAAGGCGTCGCCAGGCCGCCAGCTGGTGTATCGGCCGAGGACTAGGGCTCCTGGCGCACTCAGCTCTGTGACTGCAGACTGGAGAGGGCCGGGCGGTGTTTGCGTGACCTCCTTGTACACTATGTCCTGATGTACTGCTGGTGATCAGTTAGGCCACCACATGGTTACTCTCGAGACAAGTTCACCTAGTGACTGAGGTTCTTGGTCTGACACTCTGTCACCGTCCACAAGACCCAATTTCTTAGGGCCTAAAAATAAGCAACACGCTGGAAGGTGTTCCCCACCCCTCCTCCGACCCGGCCAGTATATGTAATGCCAGCTAGTTTCCTCATCTTTACGAAATGGATGACTCGACCATTTCAGCTTCTTGGGCCAGGGGAAGTATGAGCAGTGCCGGTGACCTGTGACCCGCCACCACAAACCTGGGCTGGCCACTGGGCATCAGGCCTCTCATGAACAGCTGTCCGTGTTTTCAGACTGCTGCAGCTGCCCCCAGGCCCTCCCGGTGGCCTGCCAGGCTCAGCTGAGCTGCGCTCAGAGCCCGGGGCTGTATCTACTGCAGCTCAAGAGGCCAGAAGACGCACGGGGCGGCGCGCGTGCTGGGGTCCCGGCTGGCGGGAACGGGGGTCAGAGGCCGGGCCAGGAGCCACTCTGCCTCTCTCCACTGTGCGGTGCGTGCGAGCTTTCCTCCGCGGGGCCCTGACTCCCCGCGTCACAGGAACAGGAGCATCTCCTCCACAGGGTCGCCCTGAGCACTGAAGGGGCGGGTGCGTGCGAGAGCCTAGCACAGTGCCAGACCACACACAGGAGGTGTGTGTGACTGTCAGCACCAAGTGTGCATGCAACATCCGTCACTGTTAGTGCTGGTGTGATACGCATGTGACTGTCAGTAATGACGTGTATGATACACACGTGACCATCAGTAATGACACATGTGACACACGTGTAACCGTTAGTGCTGGTGTGATACACATGAAACCTTCAGTAATGACGTGATACACGTGTAACTGTCAGTAATGACACGTGCAATACACGTGTAACCGCCTGATACGAGTTTGACCCTCAGTAACGATGCGTGTGTTATGTAGCTTAGTTCTGGGCACATGTGACACTCAGGTGATCGGCAGCACTGAGGCGCTGACCCCTGCGCCCAGGGTGGGCACTTGGTGAGGGTCTGTCCCCTTCCTCCTCTGTAGTGACGAGAGCTATGTTTATCAGATAACAATAAAATCCATCTTGTTTAGTTTTATCTAAGGTCTCATGAAAAAAGTCAATGTTATTGAAAAAAAGATGAAGGAATTATTGCAGAATAAGATACACTAAAGAAAAGAAGACGTGTTATTCTTGACCAGATCCTGCTCTTTCTTTTTAAGGGATCAGAGGTGCCTGGGGAAGTTTGCCTATTTAACAATATTGAAGAATTACTGATTCGTTGTGATAACCTTGGTTTGGTCACATAGGAGAATGTCCTTACAAGACGTGTACTAAAGTATTTAGAAGTGAAGTGTCACAGTGCCTTAAGCTCCCTCTCAAACAGTTCAGCAAAAAGAAAAACACATCCGTAGGGAGCGTGTAGACACACACACAGGTGTGGGTAAGGCCCGGGCAAAATCCAGCCAGGTGTTAACTACGGCTGAACCTAGGAAGTGGGCTTTGTCTTTTTGTATGTTTGAAAATTTTATAATATAAATTCGGGGAAAGCAAAGACGCTTACCTGACGTTATCGGAACTTCCAGAATTAAACCTCGGAGCTGAGACCCCTTGCTTGAAGAAGTCCTCGGCGGAGGCGGGGGCTGAGCACGCGAACCCGCCGTTTGCTGTCAGCATGGCGCTCAGTGGGATGTAGTCCTTACCGTCCTAAACGCCAAAGACAGGGCTGTGATGTGCGAACTTGTACTTTAGTCTATTACCGTGAAACTCGTCACCTAAAACCACGATTCCCACCTCCACAAAGAATTATCTTTGTGTTTTGCAAAGATAATTCTGCACGCATGTGCGTGAAACTCGTCACCTAAAACCACGATTCCCACCTCCTCAGTTGTGTTTTGCAAAGATAATTCTGCACGCGCGCGCACACACACGCGCGTGCGCACACACACACACACACAATTTTCTACTGCTAACCTCGAGTATTAAAAGCTACTAAAACAAAAGTAAAACATCCTCTTGACTTATATTCAAAGGCACCTGGCTTCTGGTAGTCTCGATAAACTTAGTGTTACCTGCTGTACGTTGGCTTGAAGCAAGTCGCCCAGCTCTTCCACGAGGTCCACGAACCTCGGCCTCTCCTTGGGGTCTCTGTGCCAGCAGTCCAGCATGATCTGATAGCTGTCGGGCAGAAGCACAGCGGACAGCTGCAGACAGTCCTGCACGCCACAGCAGGGGTGGGCATCGCCCCGCGTGGAGGGACGGCGTCTGCCTTCATGTGCGCCCTGCACCTGCAGTGTGCACACATCCATGTGGCCGGGGCCTGCCGGCCACGGACAGCGCGTCTACAGAGGCAGACCGTGCAGAGCCCGCCACGGCCCAGGACCCTCGGAGCCCCTCGTCCCCGCAGCGGGAGGGTGTTCTTGCGTGAGGGCAGCTGAGCTGTTTGGAAGGGGACCGGCAGCGGTCGCGGTCACACGGGGCGGAGTGTTCCCTGCCTGTCAGAGCAGGACAACACCATGACGGGGAAAAGCCAGTGTGGACTCAAACATCCACAGGCAAACAGTCTGCCGTGCTTGGCGCAGGCACAGGCTGTGGTGGAGGCTGGCGAGGGCTTCTTAATAAGTGCCCCGTTCCACTGAGCTCACAGTGGACACCGGAGAAGCCCTGTGCTCGGGCCTTGTGTCGCCTCTGGGAGGTGGGTGCCTCCGTGGGCTGTGTGCTGTGTGCATGTCCCCACGTGTGGCTGTCCCCACCCCCCACCCCAGTACGTCAGAGCTTCTGGACACACCAGTGTCTTGGGGTCACGGAAGCTGACTCTCGTTCTGGGAATTAAACGTTGGCAGGGTTCCTGTGGGACTCCTCTGCCGTCCCGCTGTGCAGGGCCTGGGCCCCTCCTGGCTGTGTCCGCGGGGGCGAGGGTCCCCACGCGCAGAGCTGAGGGTCCCCACGTGCAGGGCTGAGGGTCCCCATGCGCAGGGGCGAGGGTTCACGCGCCGGAGGCCTGCTCCATGCTGCCTCAGCATGGATTCTCTTTGGGCTCTTTGCTCTCCTCCGGAGTCGTCGCTGGGTCAGACCCCGGCTGCCAGCCCTGTGCGGGCAGAGACCTGGTCTCCACGCCGCTCCCCGGCGCAGGGCCCAGCTGTGAGCACTCGGTAGAGACGGCTGAGGGACCCAGACTGATCTCCGGAAGAACGGAGCTGCCTCCCACGAGCCCTAGGCTGTACTGCGACACCACGGGCCGCGCTGGGCCTGCGTGTGGCTCGGACAAGCCCCAGAAACTCCGGCCCTGGCCACGTCTGAGCCATGGGCTTTCCAGTCTCACCGGCAGCCCAGGCGTCCCTTAAGGATAGCCCTGTTTTGTGTCCACGTATACGAAGTGGCAGGTGAAGACAGAACATAGGAAGGCTAAACAGAGAGGAAGGGAGACTATCGGGGGAGGAAAGAGAGAAGTAAAGGGGAAACCACAGGCCATGTGATCTGCAGACTTTACAAGCTGATTCCGAGCAGCACGACAGAGGCAAAGCTCCAGTGAAGAGAAGGCACAGCAGGTGTGTGGTGCACATGAGCCACACGCCACAAAGCGGTGACTTGGAACAAGCGCGGCCACCGCTGGGACTCGAATCTGAGCGGCGGCTCTCCCGGACGCCTGCCACAACGTCGTCAGCACCAGGAGGTGCGGCCCGCGGCTGCCCCGGACACTGCCGATGCTGGCAAAGCCCTGACAGCAAAATCGCCGTTCAGTAAACCGGTTCTGAGAGGCCGACGGTGTGGGCCGGGCGGCTAAGGCTCCGAGTTAACCCGGGGAGAGACTTCTAGGCGCCCGGGGCAGTGGTGGCACCACGTGGCCTTCAGGCACCCTCCGTGGGCACTGGTCTTCCAATGCAAGCTTTCCTCGAAAGGGGCACTGAGGTTCTGCTTTCTGACGAGCACCCAGGAAGCAGCTGTCTCAAGTCTCTGAGTGAGGGACGGGGACTCCTAAAGACCACTTGTCCCAAGCGCAGACTCTCCTGCCCTTGTTCAAACTGGCTGCGGGGGCAAGACCCTTCTCAGAAGATGACGGTGGCTCCCTCCCGCCCTGTCCTTCACCGACTGTGCTGACTCTGCCTGCCTCCCAGGGGGCGTGGAGCGGGTCAGGTGCTTCCGAGGCCCGTGAGGGCCCTTTGGTGAGTGTGACGCGTGGGCCACCGTCAGGTGCCATCGCGCTGGGGCTCGATTCACAGTCATGGAGGAGACTGGGAGCGAGGTAACCCTACCTCTGGGAGACACAGGATGGGGGCTGCAGCGCCCAAGGTCCCTAACTGTCCCTGACCAGCAGCGCCTCAGAGGGAGGGCTCAAGGCTCTTGCTCCATTCAGGTCGCATGGGCCGGCCTGCCGATGGCCAGAGGTCTGAAGTGGCGTTACGACAGAGCCTGCACCATCCCGTAGGGATCTCATTTTAAAGCGAGTTTACATATTTGCTGATTTGTTGAGATCAGTGCAAAATATAGTCTGCAGACAAAACTCTGGGAACCCTCACCCCAAGACGCATGACTGTGGCAGAGGCTGGCCTGTTCCCCGCGTACCGCATTCAAGCCTAGTGCTCCCAGGCTCTTTGTCACTAGATTCTTGGAGATCACCGGAAGAACATGAAACGCCTACAGAGACGATCTACAGAGGGAAGCCAGGGCAGGACAGACCTGACCCGGCTGTGAGAGGAGGGAGGAGGGTCTGCCCCCGCTGGCCTCAACCCGCATCCGGTCACCCCGGGCAGGTGGCCTGGCGAGGATCCCTGGGCCTCTTGGCAGAAACCAGCGAGGTGGACCCCCTACGACTACGTGCTGCTTTTATTTTGATTCTTGGTTTCTGATTGCCAGATTCCACTTCTCTTGCCTAAAATTCAATGCAAACCATCTCAGCAAACACCAAAGGAAAAGAAAAATAGAAACGTTCACTGCTCATTCCGTTATCGAAAGACTTCTGACTAAACGGGCTCCGGGCGGAAAACCAGGGACTCACGTGGAAACGCTGGGCATCCTGAGCAAACGAGATTACGAGGTGAAGCTGCCCCAGGCGCGCCCAACCCCACAGCCCTCCTGGACCTGTGGGAAGAGCTTCCTGTCCGGCTGTCGCCCAGGCTCCCACATGCACACCACTTTAGGCCAAGTTCGCGTCCCAGAATCCCAGTTCTGAGAGCTGCACTTCATCCTCGCCCGGGCAGCTTTCAAATGCCCAAGAATGGCTGAAGGTTTGAGCTCTGGCCTTCTGTACAAACGTTCCTGAAGCTGCTGCTTACTTTTCATCTCTAAAATAAACCCCCAGATCTGAGGAACGGCTCTTCTCCCTAGGGGCTGTGTGGGGTGTAAGCCCTACTTGGGAGACTGTTTATGTGCAGACTTGGGGGTTTGGTGAAGGCCAAGGAGCTTCTTCTCCAAAGCCGGTGGGACTTTCTGCCTCCAGGGTTATTCTGGACCAGCGGCTAGGTGCGAACTGGGAGCAGGCCCTGCGGGTTGTGTGCACTGCTCTGGGCTCTGGCGTCGGGCTGGGTGTGCTTAGCACACAAGCAATGTGGCAAATCGCTTAGGTGTTCTGTGCCCTGCTTTTCTCATCTGTGAAATGAGACGATACCAGTACCTACTTTATAGGGCTGTTATGGGCACTGGGAAAATTAATATAGGTTAAAAGTGCTAAACACAGTACCCGGCACTTAATAAGCACTAAAGAACTGTTTAGTCAAGAAACATCGTTAAATGTTGCTACTTAATGACTGCGGTTACGACTATTGCTGTTAGTGGTAGAGAACTTTTGTGATTTTCAGATGTTGTGAAAAGTGGATGGAAACATTTAATTTGAAGCACGAGTGGACACGTTAGAGAAACATTTCTTCTAAGGAATGTGGAGTGTAGTTCTCATTTAACGGTCCTGTCGTCTGGGAGACCAGGCCAAGGGACTGCCTTCCTAATCTGCTCTGCCGCTTAGCTGAAGGAGGACAAGTCAGTTCACTTCTCAGAGGCTTAGATTCATCGCTCATCGAATTCAGACTGACAGACCTGCCTGCCTGCTCCTCAAGGCTGCTGGGAACTTCAAATGAGGCGGTGGGGGCGGGGGCCACTTAGACAACCCTCAAATGCAAAGCGGTCTCGCTTTAAACCAGATCGCTTGGGCTCTCTGCATGCAAAAGCAAGCGAGTGCGGCCCTGGGCTCGTGTATCTGTCCCCAGCTCTCAGAAGGGAGCCTTGCCTCAGGCTCCCAGCACACCACGTGTGACAGACAAGAGCAGGTCCCTCGTTCCCCGCTGCCCCAGGCTGCTTCCTAACTCTGCCTTCCCAGCCTCAGTCCCATCTGCCTCATCCTGGGTCTGACCTGGTCTTATCCTCAGACATGAAGGAAAGAGACGGCCACCTCGCACTCAGGCCAAGCCCACACTTCCTTCGTTCCCTGACCCCTCCCCAAAGGCCACCACAGGGCTGTGACGGGACCCCAGTGTGTGGGTGGGGCAGGGAGGGCCGCCTGCCAGCTCAGGAAAGGAGGTGCCGCCCAGGTCCTTGTCAGCAGCTCAACACAGCTGCAAGTGTCATCGCGTTCCTGCCCAGCACTCAAAGGACGAGACGTCCACAGAGCGTCAGGAAGAGAGTGTCTGAGAGGCGGGCCAGCGCTGAGCCATGAGGGAGCCTTCGCCCAGAGCCTGCCACCTGCCTGGAGCCACGGGCCACGTAGCAGGCAGCGCTGCCCGCTGCAGGCAGCTGCTGAGCCGGGTCCTAGGGTGGGTCTGTCTCTTCCCTCCCCTGCTCTGGGAATCTGAGCTGGGCTGATTGGCTCCCATGTGGTTTGGTTCCTGGGTGGCCTGTTAGTTTCACCTGGATTCACACTTAGGAACTGAATTTCTCACTTCGGTTCCCAGCCAGAGGCCTTGAAAAGTCACGTCAGTGGTCGAGAGAGGAAACAGGTGACGGTGGATCCGGGACAATGTGCCTCACTCTGGGAAGCCCTCCCTGCACACCTGTCCAATGGGGCTCCGCAGGACTGGAATTCTAAAACCCAACGAGCTGCCCCCCGCAGGAGTTCTGTGGGGCGAGCGCTGTGGGTGGGGGGCAGGGGGTGGGGCCAGGGCGGCCAAGGACTCACATGTCAGGAGTCGCGTACTCGGGGGCCCGCATCCTCACGCCTTCCTTCAGGCGGCTGCAGAAGTCCTCGTCCACCTGCACGCCTGGGTACGGGGACGCACCTGCGGGGACGACCGAAACACAGGGCAATCAGCGCTGATGGCCTAGTGACAAGCGGCCAGTGATGGGGATGGGTGTCCACGCATGGCACCACCTGCAGTGAAGCTCGACAAATCCTCACTAGTGACACAAGGTCGGTCGGGGACCCGCGGTGCTGGTTGTGACGCCCCCGGGCCATTCCCAGGGCTGCTCCTTCCTCTGAGGGGGCCCTGTCCTGTACTCTAAAGCAACTCTAAAGAAGTCCCACCATTAGAAACTCTTTCCTTGTGTTAATGAGGCTCTTTTTAAAAAGCCAGTGGACCGAGCACTGTGGCTCACTCGCACCTCTATGACTGTCACTCACTACTTTCTTGTCATCGTCCACAGAGCCGGGGACTCGTTGCTATGCCGGGCCTGAGCCCCAGGAGGCTGTATGGGGTGGGGCGGAGGACCGGGTGTGGCCAGAGGGGCCTGGGCTGCCTGTCCAGGATGCCCACGAGCCCCTTCCAGGCTCCCGGTCCCCGTCCCGGCCCTCGGACCTCCGCCACCTCCGCATGTGTTTGTCTGCACTCTCGAGTGACTGCTGCTGGTAGGAAGCAGCTGGGAGGCGCACGGCGCTGGCACTGTGTCACTGCGGGGCCGCCGTGGCCGCCAAGCTGCTTTCAAAGAGTGGAAGCAACAGGTGCCTGTCATCGAAAGCAGAGGAATGGTTTTCACACATTACAGGAAACCAGGGATGTTACGGGGCGACTTCTATTGGTTCTGAAAGGCCAATTTTTGGCAAAGTGCAAACGCCTGTTGGCTGGACCCCACACAAGGGAGGCCTCGGAGCGGCGGCGTGTGTCTGCAAGCCGACATGGGCTCCGTGCGCCTGGGGCTGGACCAGGTTCCCAGCCACTGGCCGTGGACGCTACTGGAAGCAGAGTAAACAGTGTCCCAGCGGTCACGCCGCATGAAGCGCGTCTGAGGCTCACAGCTGACAGTGGCCGTGCTGCTAGTGGCACTGAAGGCCTCGTCACTGACACCAGCTGAGCTGGCTCCGTGTGGCCTTTCATCAGAGATTCTGAGGGGAGGGGTGACACAGGCAGGGAAGAGGGCAGGGCGGTAGGAATCGGGGTGTCTGAGGAATCAGGAGGGGGCAAAGGGTGGAGGAAGGAGGAGCCAGACTGGCCAACGGGGAACCCGACTTCAGATTTCCTACTGGTCCACCCCGCTGGGGTCCGTGGGAAGCCTCCTGCCCCCCAGGGGCGCACACCCCTCACGCGGGTTCTCCGTGGACCCATGCCTCCGGACGGCTTCCGGCTGCCTGGATGCTGACCTCAAGCTCGGGTCCACCCCAAGGACCCCTGACAGACGTTCGGTCCTGGGCTATGCGACCTCTTCCTCCCCCAAAGTTACCTAAGGAGAAGATCTCCCACAGCAGAACTCCGTAAGACCACACGTCGCTCTTGGTGCTGTAGATTTTGTCAAAGATAGATTCAGGAGCCATCCACTTCAGAGGAAGTCGTGTCTAGAAAAGGGCAAGGGGGCCTTGAGCAGAAGGACATGCAAACAAAGCACATGCAACCCGAGCGCCCGTGGGTCACCTCCCAGAGAGCACTTGGCCCAGAAATCACTTCCTAGAGCAGTTACGGTTTCCTAACATAGAACGCTCCTACGACACGCGGAGTCAGCCCGCGAGAGCTGCGGGCCACACTGATTCCCATGAAGGTAACACGTGTTCGGGGAGCCCCTCCCACGTCTGGCATGCCTGTAAGAAATTTATGTCCCCCAAAACACTCGCACTCCACAGGGACCTGAGAAAGAGTGATCTGAATTAGAAGACAGCCTGAAAATGGAATTCCAGGGATTTTTCCTAAGAAAAAGGATTCTGAAAGGCATTCTTATGTAAAAAGACCGGGTTTTAAAAGTCATTGAGTGGGGGGAGTGGGCAAAGGCACAGGGAAGAAGGAAGGTGACAGACAGACAGCATTTAGGAGTGCATGCGGCTGGTTGCCAAGTGTGCACACATACTTCAGCTCTCTTCCAGGCAGCAAGAACCCCAATGAGACAGGCCTTGCCACTCTAGATGGATGGGAAGCGACAGGAAGTATGGAACAATAGAGACACAATGAGAAAAACACGAGGGGGGGAGCAGGGAGAGGCTGAGACAGACGGACAGAAGAGGAAGACAGACGGACACGTAGGTAAATGCCATCTTTGCAAATCGGGACTCCCCAGGAAAGCGGGTTTTTTTTCTTTTATAAAGTGAAGACTGTGGAGCCATGGTTCTCAGAGTATTGTCTGGGGAACAGCTGTGCCAGCGGCGCCTAGAAACTTGTTTAGAAAAGCAAATTCCCAGGCCCCACCAAGACTTACTGAGCCAGAATTTCAGGGGTGGGGCCCCACAAATGGTAGTTTAATAAGCCCTCTGGGTGGTCTGTATGCTCACTGAAGTCTGAGAACCACTACTGCAGAGTAATCGGCTAGGCCCAGACACAAGCTCAAACCCTCAGGGTGTAGGCCAGAGAAGAGAGGGCACAGGAGGTCACCCACAAAAGTGAAACATAACACTCCGTCCAAAAACAAGCAGGGAAGAGAAGCCAGTGCGAGCCAGCCGGGGATGCTGGGCATGGAAGGCAGATGCTGGAGTCAAACGGTTTCCTCTCTAGCAAGATAATGCTACTCCGCCCCCGCCCCCGCCCCACCCTTTCCTGAGCGCTATACACCTGCTGAAGCCATCAGTGGGTTTATTTGAGGGAAGAGTCCAGGCTGTTCTTTCCCGTGGTTCAGAAAACTCCCACGGGAGTCCGAGGGAGGTGCCGGTGTGGTCCCGCCGAGGCCCCACTAAACACTGCTCAGGCTGGCCATCTCGGGCAGCGCTGCCCAGAGGACAGGGACCAAGCCAGGAGGGAGGGAACAACGGAATGAGGAGACGGTGGCCTTTCGGAGCCCCACGCAAGAGCTCCCTGGAACACAGCCGCCTGGGCTGCTCGTCTTCACAGAAAGCACGTGACGGCTTTCGGGGCCCACTGCCGAGGAAGTGTGAATGTTTACCAAGGGCTCCGGTCTGCGGCTTAAAATGACAGGGTATAAATGAGCCAAATAAACAACGAACCGACTTACATCTCCTTTTCTCACATAATCGGGGTTCTTATAAATATCCCGGGCGAGGCCAAAATCACAAATCTTCACCACATTGTTCTCAGATAAAAGAATATTTCGTGCTGCCAGGTCCCGATGGATGCACTATAATAAAACAGTTGCATAATCAATGCGTTTCCTTAATCTGACTGACTAATTTCCTGCGGCTTCTGTGTGTCATTATTCTTCTCCACTCGAGCATCCGTCACCTGACAGAAGCAGCCCCCAGCACCCACGGAGCTGCCACGGAGCTGCCACGGACACGAAGCGCCTCTTTACAAACGTGGCCTTCGGACGCCCCGAAGGCGAGGCATAGCCCGAGCCCGCTCTGCCACGCCTTTGCGGGACAGCACCCTGACCAACGAAGCTGGCAGGGACTTCTCCCCGGAGCAAAACCACCCGCAGCCTTTGATCCCAAGCTGTGGCGCTCGGCGGCGACCTGGCTGCGGTTTGCGGGAGGGCAGCGCGGAGCACGGGGCCCAGGTTTCTCCAGTCTGAAACCCAGGATGGCTTCTCCTGGAGCTAAGTACCTAAGACGCATTGCGGTCGAAAGCCCTCACTCGCATCGGCGTAAAGGAAGGCGTTCGCCACGTTCACTACGTTTAAGGACATGAGTGCAAGCAACTAGGAAATGTGATTTAGAGCGAACTCGCGTTTGTCCACACGAGCGTCCACGTGTCCAGGCTTGGCAAAGAACGACAGTAAAGAGCAAGGCTGACCTTTCTGGAAGACAAAAACTCCATGCCTCTGGCCACTTGAAAACTGTAAGAGATCAGATCTTCCATAGTGATGGGCTGCTTGTAGAAATCGTCAGAATCTGGAAATCATTAAAACCGTAGCTGTTTGTAACGGTGCTTGTTACTCCGCCAAATCCCATATTGGAACAATGTGAGCAAAACATAAAACCAACCAACAAGTGGATCAGAGTTCATTTTCAAGAGCATCTGAGTTTCAGGAGGAATATCAGAGATTATTCCAGGCCTCCAGCCCGTTTTAGCAGAGTGGGGGAAGGGGAATGAGCCATGAAGACAAAAGGCCCGAGGGGAGACAATCTACAGCTCCCTGTCAAAATTAGCAACCCTGAAAATAATCTTAATTCAAATCTTATCTGCTTGGGACATTGCCCTCCAAGTCTCCCGGATGTTTATTAGGCTGATAAATAAAAAAACATTTCAGAGATGCAGAGTATGTTGTAAAAATATCTCCGACTGTAGGACAGGAAGGAATTAATACCTACCCTCCTCTTCCTCGACATCACTCAGACTTTTATCTTCCTGAAACCCGGAGCTCGCAAAGCTCTCACTGCTGGTGACACTATCTAGTCTTTGTTTCTTGCTTTGCTCCAAGTCTGGCTCCATTTTTTCTTTCTTAGGCTCCACGTGTAACGCTGCATCCTTTGAACAGACCGAGAGGGACATGGATGAAAGGGAGTGCCACCGGGGAAGACAGTCAGTCCCTCGAGCTGGCAATCGCCCCTGTTGAGAGAATGTCATTCCACAAAAAGGACAGTGAATTAGCAGCAAGGGCTTTATGATGGGCAAGCACCTGGCCACTCCTGGGGTCGTGGAGTCTATTCTGCTCTTGACCGGGCTTCTAGACCGCACGAGGTAGGACATGTGAGTATTAACAGCAACTGGCAGTTACTGAGCGCTGACTCTGGGAGCCAGGATGTTAAGGATCTCAGGCGCATTTTCTCATTTAATCTTTCCAACAGTTTTATGCTGTAGTTCTTATATACGAAGAAACAACTTCAGAGAAGTCAAGGAATCAAAGCGACATGCAGCTAGTGAATGGCAACGCTTGAGCCCAGGTTTTGCCAGCTCTAGTCTGTGCCCGTAACCGCTTTTCCACACCATGGGCCACCTTGTGAAAGATGATATGATGGGCAGGAAAGGGTGCCCAGTGAACCTGGGCCTTCACTTCGTAATCCCTGTGGGGAGTAATGAGGGCCGTGGCTACCAATTCCTTTAGTCTCCTTGGGGAAGGGGGAGCAAGAACATTTCTTTTTCTTTCCTCCAGTGAAAATAAAAGATACGGCTTGATCCTAATGGGTAAAAACAGCCTCTCGGCCTGGATGGGGCATCCAAGCCCCAGTGTATAACCTGGCTCTTCCAGTACCCATGTGACCTGGGGCAAATCGCCTTACTTTTCTGAGTTCCATCTTCCTCACCTGAAAAGCTCTATCATCTGTTATGTTTTGACTCATAGAAAAGGAGTTCTTGGTTTTGGGTGTTCATGTGGAACCCGAAAAGATTTTTATCACATTTAGTAATTCCTCTAACAACCACGACAAGAGAAACTTAGTTCTCCCAGTGGCTCCGTGACAGGACCGTGTATCTAGGCTCAGTTCTGCTAGATGCCAGTATTGAAACGGGCTGAGAGGAACTAGGCTTCAGCGGTTTCCCTTGATCCTCCAGCACGGTGTGGCAGTGCTAAGATTAACCAGGCTCGCAGGTCCTGCCTTGGCTTTTCCTAGAAATGTCACCAAGTAGGAGTGATCCCTCCACTAGAGGGCACAGTGGGAGCAAGCAGAGGACAGAGGTAGCTTCAGGAGGGCCAGCCTGACCAACTCTGAGAGTGTGGTGGTGGGTACCGGGCTCCTAGCCATCCCCCTCCCCCGCCCCGCCCCGCCCCAGAAGAGACCTTCCTGTGCTGCAGGAGGGGAGGCAGGCCTCCGAGTAAACATCCACCGCCACCCAGGTGACCTACCTGAGGACACGTAAAGAATATAACCCTTTGTTATTGCGTCTTCCTGAGGCAGTTAGGTTTGATTCCACTCGGTTGAGGCCTGGAGTTTTATTTTTCACAGGACCGTCCCCAGGACTGAAGGCAGCAGCGGGAGAGTGCGGGCAAGGGCGTCAGGGAGAAAAGTGCTCAACGGGCCCACTCAGGCTCAGGTCTGTGACCACGCTCCCTGGGGCGTGTCACCAGCGACTGTGACTCACGCTCCCTCGCCCTCTTCCTGACTCCCAATCAACGGTACCTTCAGCTTTGCTTATTGGTAACCTCCTCTGTTAAATAAAGGTTGATGTACTGAACTTTTGGGACTCCGGCAGAATGCAGTGGATCTATTAAAACGATATTTAAGGATCCTGGCGAATTTAGTTGGAAAATAAAATATCCCATTTCTATTTGGCCTTTGGTTTTCCTTTTACCTTCTCTTTACATTCCTTTAGGTTTCAAATATGAAATACAGCCATGTGTTTTCCACGAAAACACTAGGCTCCACCGACAGGGAGGCGAATCATTAAATATAGCCAGAGGAGGAAGCAAACTCTTCAAAACAAAGGACGCACAAACCCAAACGTTCCATCCTGCCCCGGTCCCTGGGGCGTTCTGCTGGCTTAGTTCTTCCTGAAGCTAGGCCAGGATTTCAGGACTGAAGGGCGTTTGCACTCTTAGCTCAGGGCACCACTTTCCACTTTTTCTGTTTTTTTTTTTTTTTTTTTCTTTTTTTTTTTCCTCCTTGTCCAATGTAGCACACAGAAAAAGCATTGGAAGAGGAGATAAGAGAGCCGGGTTCTTTTCCCCCGGCTTCATCTCTTGGTAAGTATGTGTCCTTAAGCCAATCACTTGAACTAGCTGATCACAAGTATCTCTTTCAGCTTTAAGATTCTAGTTATGAGACAGCATGGTTTAAAGTTGGGTAAAATACAGTCTAGAACACCTACCTGTGTGTCTTTGGCTGGATCAAAGCTAGAGAGATGAGAGGATGGGCCAGCTGTCCAGCGGCTCCTATTTGTGTGCCACCTGATGACTCTCGCCCACATGACAGAGATGGGCACCATACGTGGATGTTGGACACTTGATTCATTACACAGATCGAATAGGTCAATGGCATTGAGTTGGACCCACCCAATCTTTCTATCTCCATGAGTCAATAATGATGACCATGATAGTTACTGTTACTTCCATTTGATAAATGAGAAAGTGAAATTTAGCAGGACTGAGTATCCTGAGTACCATGGTCTTAGATTTCATCACTGTTAGAGACAGGATTCAAACCCAGGAGGTCTGACTCTGGAGTCCGATGCTTAACCTCCACACTACATTGATTCACCACCAATATTGCTAATTATCAGTTAATAATGTCGAATTGTCTCCCAAGCTTCTCTGGCCCAGAGAAGGCAATGACATGGTTGCTGTGGGTCACACTGGCAAAGCTTTACTAAACCCTTGAACTTGGTTTGCCTTCAGTACTTAGACCCATGTGTTCCTTTTACTAAATACCTTTACTCTAGTGGATAAGACTGATTTGGTGTCTGTATACGGGTGACAAGGGTGGTAGGGTCGGGGGAAGTGGGAGAAAGGGCTGTAGGAAGAGGAGAAAGTGATTTCTTGGGCCCTATCATCGGTCTGTTGTTGACTGTGAAGTCAGTTGATTGAGTCATAAATTCCTGTAATCTAATAAATGGAGACGATTATATTTGCTATCATCTTTTAAGAAACAAATAACTAAGTGATTTGTGTGTTTCTATATATCTAGAGAGAAAAAGAGAAATAAGGTTATCAAGATGATCTGATAGATATTTAGATAGATGGCTAGTAAATTTTAACCCCTAATTATCGCTGCATACACTAAGATCAAATATTCTCTGTGCCGTCCAGTGTGTGATATATAACGAAAACATTTTAAAGAGATAAACAATTTTAAAAGAGTGTGATATATGAGCATGGAGGGAAAAAACAGAAAAGGAGGAAAAAGCAGAGATTGAGTTTTAAGCTTAGTCATTGATGGAAAAATATAGGTTTCTTTTGCTTTATCCTGCTATAGCCGAAATGGAAACTCATTGCTATCTTTCAAAATCTCCAACTGCAAAATTCCTTACCTTGTTGAGAAAGAATAAGTCTCGTTTGCTCTTGAGGTAGTTGGATAGGTTCCCATATTTGCAATATTCCACGATCACCATCAGGGGCCCTGTAGCCAAAACAGCATACGCTCAGCCACGCCAAGCCAGTCAGCTATTTGCCAGCCATCAGCGGGCCTCAGAAACCTCAAAACAACTAGTCTTTGTATTAGTGGGACCTAGAGATGCAACTTAGGGTGAGAGATTTTTTTCAGTTTAATCTGAGAAGGAGTTTAAAAAATACAAAAGGAATAGGAGACGATTGTGGGTGTGGGAGAAGCAGAAAGAGTAGGAGGAGAAACAACTGAAGAGGGGAGGAGCCAAAGCTGGGGCTCCACCTGTAAGTGCCAGCCACACGTTCTTCTGTGAGTAGAGGGACCTCAGGACACTGTCACTCACCCCATTGTTAAGCAGCTTAAGAAGGGCTAAAGCAGCGACCAAACTTTTTTGTAAAGGACGGGACAGTAAATATTTTAGGCCTCGCAGGCCATATGGCTATTCGCTCTGCCTTGGTAGTGTCAAAGCAGCCAGAGCCGACAGTACAAATGAGTGACTGTGCTCAATAACCCCTTATAAACACGCCAATTTGAATTGCACCCACATTTCGCGTCACAAAATATTACTCTTTTAAGTCCCCCCCCCCAAACTATTTAATAGAGTCACACTAAGCTTAGAGGCTGACCCCATCATCTCCTGGGTCTTGGTCAAAAGGAAGCAAGAGGATTGGGTAGGAAGAAACATCGAGCTGCACCGCGAGTCCCACGCGGTGCGCTGAAGGCCGGGCACGAGGCCCGCCGCGGGCCGCAACTTCCGGTTCCGGGTCAAAGCGGGATGACCCGGAACTGTTCGAGCGGGCGGCCGCCCGCGTTCTGTGAGCCCGCGGCCCTGACGGCCTAGTTCCCCCGAGCTCCCAGAGGCCGAGGCCGGCCCAGTAGAGGGGTGTTCAGTCAGTCAGGACTTCGCTGGTTTAAAAATGCAAGTTAGAGACCCCGACGGCACCTGTTCCCTCCGGGTTACAGAATAAGAGGTGGCTTCCAGTGGTTCCATGACTCCCCGCCACCCGGGAGAATTCGGCGCGTCCCGGGTACCTACCTGGGGGCCAGCAACCCTCGCGTTTCGGGGGGAAGGGGTGCTTCCAGCCTAAAGCCGGCTCCGCGGGGCTCCGACGCGCACCCTGAGGTGGGTTCTCTGGTTACCCCCAGTCAGAATCACGGGCGCGAAGCCGAGGCAAACAGAACGAGGTTGCCAAGGCAGAGAACTCGAGGAAGAGCTTCTCACCTGGCATTACTCAGGGATGATAGAGAAGCAGGTAGCTGTGTCTAGGTCCTCGGGACTCTAGCTCTGGCCTCCCCAGCCCTTAGCATCTTCTCCCCACCGCCACCTGTAGCCGATAGGCCTTCCCGGCTACCTTTCATCTCTGCTACCTTTGCTGGGCTTAGAAAACATTTATAAGCGTAGGTCCTTTACACCTTTCTTTCTGGCTCCAGCAGTGATCACGCACCTACAGCCAGGCACTAACCTTGCCATAGGGGCGGATGGAAGGGTCTTCAAGAACATTCACCGCTTTAGGTGAAGCTTCAAGGGATGCACAACCTTCTATGCGTTTACCTTAGCCCTGGTCAGACTCCTTCAAAGTCATCATTCCAGAAAAACCCCCTCCACTTGGCCTAGAGCCCGCGGAAGGAGATCTGAAAAGGAGTCCTCTTCAGAACCTTTAACTATATAGGGAAAGCTTTTCTAGGGTGGGAGCCTCCTTTTATAAGTAGACAAACTATTTCCTCTGGAGCAGCTGAAAGGCCATTTTCCAGGAGGTGAGGGGGAGCAGGGCTAGGGAGAAGGAGCTGCAGGTCGGAGAACTCCACTGTGAGCGAGTGGATCGTGAGGCGGAGCGGCCAGCCCTTTCTCATTTACCTCCTTGCTTGGTACAGGCTCCCAGAAGGTTGACGACGTTCAGATGGTGGCCGATGTGGGTCAAGATCTTGAGCTCAGTCATCAGAGCTTTGTACTCGCTGGCCGTGGCCCCCTCTGTGTGAGAAGCAAGGAAGAGTCAAGGCGACCGGACAATGGGGCCCTTTCCGCCGGAGGCGGCATTACTGCCCCCCAGGTTTGTCACTCTTCAGCTGGTTGCTTCACTAACTTCCCCATATTCTGCAGAAGGGCCAAGTCTGCAGACTGTTTTCATTACTCCCACCCTCCCGAGCCAACATCCTTTCGATTACAGTAAGGCGCAGCGTGGTGGTGGGGTTAGTCACCGCACGTTTCCTCTCTCTGGACCTAGTCCTGTTCAGTAATGGGCTGACTCAGAGCAGGGCACCTTGTGGAAGCGCCTTCCAGAGGCTTCCCTTCTGCCAGTACCAGGCACGGCCAGAACCATCCAGGCAGGGGATGCGCCCACAGTGCACCTCTTTCTCTAGCTTTTCCCCTCTTTGAGGAGTTACAAAGAAGGAGCACAAGGGGCCTGCAAGCAGCAGGGAGGCCACTTCTGTAAACATCGTCATGGTGGTGTGTTACGTGCTCCCTTTAACCTTTTCCTCCCCAGAGTCCTCAGGGTTAGCGCAAGTTGCGAGGATCTGTAAGCCTCTTGACTTCAGTTTCATTCTCAGAGATAAACGACATCAGTCTAAGAATTAGCAAAGTCTAAAGCTAAATTAAATTTGTTATCTCTCTTTGTTCTCATTGGTTGATTTCTAAGGCATTTAAACATTTTAAGTTATTGTTAGAACCAAAAAAGTCATATAATCTTGCCGTAAAATTTTCTAACGATATGATATATGTAGAGTAAAAAGTGAAAGCCACTCCAACCAACTTATCTTTTTAGAAGTGACCACTGTTTGTTGTTAGGAGTTTCAGACCTTTTTCTATGCATTTATAAATATCCAAACAAAGGTTTTTGTTGTTGTTCGTATAAATGGGATTACATGCATATTTTTAAAAATTTGCTTTTACCCCTTTTATATGTTGAAGATTTTCCATTCTTTTTGATTGATCAATGGCATTCCTAACGTTTAGACTATACAGGGTGGTTTTTTTTGTTTGTTTTGTTTTGTTTTTTTGCCATTACAAATGATGCAGCCTGTGTGTAATCTTTGTACACATGTGTGAGTATTTCTGGAATGGGGCGATGGACGTGCATTTGACATAGTGGTAAATACCGACATATTTCATAAGCACAAATCATTTTTTAATAATAACCAGATAAACTCTAGCCTCCCTACGAGCTCGGGATTGGCTCACAGCAGACACTCAACATTTATTTGTTAGATAAATAAACAGCATGATTATTGTTCTCATTTCAGACATAGGCATAAGGCCCAAAGGTTAAAGGTTTTACCGAAGGGCGCTTCGAAAGAGCTTCTGGCTCATGGCATTTGACGGTCTGCCTTTGCAGTTTCTCCTCGAAACAGATGGCCGGCCAATTTAAAAACAAGAAAGCTGAATGGAAGTGGTATTTAGGAATTTTATATAGTGGGTTATTTGGCAGTCTTTTTCAGTCAAGGCTGATGGGAACAAAAAGATAAACACTTATGAAGATATTAGGCACACTATTTCTGTTTGCATAGAGTAGATTCTCTGGGTCTCTAAAAAAAGCTCGAGTCAGAATTTTCCCTCTCAGACTCCTCAGTCCCTGCATGCATTTATGCCCCCTTAGCACCGAGGAAAACCAGGCTTTCTGGCTCAGGTGGTTCCATTTGTGGGCAGGGCCCATAATAGACAAACGTGGGCAGCAGACTGACGTCTCCTGGAGAGAGTGTGGTGGTGGTAGGCAGGGAAATGGTGCTGGCTGAGGAAGCAGCTGCTTCCAGATTCAGTTTCGACGTGTCTCAGGGTTGGACACAACATTGCCTCCGGAACACAGGCCAGGATCGCTTTTGGAGCGATGGGGCATTCTAGGAGGCGGCCTCCGCAGCCCTCCTGAGTGGCACTGTGGGGGAAAGCACTGCCCTCAAAGCTGGGAGACTGGCATCAGACCCTTACTTCTGCACTGGGAGCTTGCAGAGGCTGTTAACCTTTCTGGGCCACATGTCTTCATCGGCATTCTAGGATAATGTCTACCTCTCAGGCTGCAGAGAGGACAGTAAGGAAAATGGCAGTTTCGGGTGGTTCCTCCGCATATATTAAAGCACCCAGTCTGGGGCTTTCTCACATAGCAGCCACGTTGATGACTCTTCTCTTCGGAGTCTGGGGTGGGGCTGTCCGGGCTGGGGAGTTGGAATGCAGGATGTTCGCAGAAATACCTGCCACCATCCGAGTCGTCCATCTCCCACAAAAGTCCTGGCTCCTGGGTGCCAACTCCCTTCCTGGTTACTTTCAGACTACAACTCTCAGATTCTCCGTAGAGTGTTATCAAAGCCTTTCCTTGTAAAGGACAGCCGTTCGATGTGGAAAATGTCATTACTTGATACTTCTGCAGTGATGGTGTCAGTGCCGGAGGAGGAGCTTTGAAGTCCCCTGAGCAAATGGCCCCCTTCTCCGGGAGCCTTCGCTGGGTACCTGCTTAGTCGGGGGCATGGCTCCCCGAGCCTCAGGCCCCTGCCAATACCTGGGAGACTTCGGAAGGCTGCAAACCAGCCGTTGGGCTTTCAGTCCTGTTTCTTTTGGTTTGGGGACTTTAAAACACGTTAAAGTGACATAAAAATCTAGCACGAATGAGGAGACGAAGTATTTTCTACACAAAGACCTGAGTCTTTGAGATATTTGGTTTATACACTTTTCACTGATTTTCACTCAGCCTGCCTTGTGGCGGTGCTCATAGTTCACTGTGTGACCTGGCTCTACCTGCCAGTGCATCGCGGGCTGGTCGTATCATTCAGCGCTAGGAAGGAAGATAATTCGTTTGTGGTGTTGTTGTTTTTAATTTCTAAAGAGAAAATGTTTTATGGTTGGGACTTGACAGTGTAAAATAATTTATGGCTCTGATGCACTCGTTTGTTCCAGTTTCCCAGGTTTCCTTTACGGTCAAGTCAAGCCCCAGCTTAACCTTCGGGATTTATGATGTACAGCTAAATTTCCATTTTGACGTCATAGTGGATCATTCCAAAATGTTGAACCTGTGGTTACCATGGTCCCTGATAATCTAGGGTCTGAGATGTGGTGGGGGAAAGATCTCCAAGATCACAGAAATTGTTTTCCTGTGGACCGGGCTGCGTTGTTTCATTTACAAAGTTTGTGCTGAGCTCCTGCTGGCCTAATCTAAAACTCCTGACGTAAAGATGCTTCTGGCAGCAGAGGGAAGTTTTGTGGACAGAGCAGAAACAGCTCGTGTGTGTTCCCAGGCTGTGTTCACCTAGTATCAATGTTTAGGGGACGTAATGGGTCGGTCGAAAGCCAAACTACAGTGTCCATACCTTTCAGCATCTTCACAGCCACAGTCCGGCACGTGGGTGATTTCTTAATGCCAAACGCAGATGCTTGAACCACTTTTCCAAAGGCCCCTCTTCCGAGCGATTTGCCTATAATGAAAAGAAGACATTGGTTTATTTGCCGAGCCAGCTGGGCGAGTTTAAGTCTTTTTCAGGAAGGAGCTGTCACCTTTACCGTGTGCGTATGTGTGGCGTGAGGCGTGTAGCTCTGAATGGGGTCTCCAGTGAACCGGCCCCAGAAGAGTCAAAGTGAGGGACACATTTCTGGAGTGTCTTCCTTCCACCTCTTTCCTGTGCTTCTGAGGCACCCTCGTCCTTCTCAGCTAGGCTGGGCCCCTGGAAGGCACTGGCGCTGGTGGACGGCGGGTGTCCTCACAAAGTCCCCCCGGAAGGGAGAGGCCACCAAGTCCTGGGCAGTCTCCTCAGTTGTTTAATAATCTAATCAGGAAGCATGTGTCCCTGCGCTTAACCTAAGTCCCTTTTCTTGCCACTTCAGATCATCTGATGTGTTTTTAGCAGAAAGGAAGAAATCGAGAATGGTGTTTATTGCTGTTGGTTATGATAATGCTTCATAGCTAAGAAAGAACCACTACGTCCTATCTGACTTCTTTGGCAGGCAGAATATTCCCAGGATCCCTGATATGACTTCAGATTACAAACCTTCGCGGTCAGCCACTGGCAGTAATTTGTTTCAACTGCAGGGAGGTTGCCGAGTGCAAGGACAAAGCAAGGTGTCTGCAGTGGCACCCGTTAGGTCCTGCCGGGGCGCCTGTGGACGTGTTTCTTTCCTCGCCCTTGCGTGAAGCAGCCTGACAGAGGGGCAGTGACCATGTCTGAATCTGCCCAGAACCTCGCCCCGTGCCCGCTGCGCAGAAGGCCCCTGTCCATTCGTGCAGAGGGGACAGTGGTGCTGGGGAATTTGTGGGGTGTTCAAAGCCCGGCTCCTACAGTCCCGGGCAAGCGGGGGGGACGCGAGACCTTGAAAGTGATGCTCCGTGAGGAGGGCACCCCGGGAAACCTCAGCTCCCCTGCATCTCGGGATAGGTGGCTAAGGAGAGCCCGGAGAAGCAGTGCACTTCAAGCCCGATGGGGCAAAAGGAAGAGGGGCCAAAGCAGTCACCCTTTTTGGTTCTTGGGGTGGGGCGGGGGGAGCCAAGAAAATGCCTCTGGTCGAAAGTTAAGTCCTCGTAATTAGAGTGTTAATTTAACACAGCAGCCTCCTCTCCCAGCCGAGTCTTCTTTCTCAGACTGTTCCGATAACATGCCTTGAGTTAGCCGCCAGCCAGCCAGCCAACCTCCCTCTCTCCTTGCCCCCTTCCTTCCTTTCCTTCCCTCCCCCCCCCCCCCCCCCCCTCCCCCCTTATTCCTTCCTCCCTCCCTCTTCCCTTCCTTCTTCCCTCCCCCTGCTTCTATTCCAATCCCTTTCCCCAAAGGACATAGTTTCTCATTTGTTAAGATTCTTGTACAGGTTGTCATAAAGTTTTCCTGCTGCTCCATCCCGTTGGAACCTTCATGCTTTTATGCACAACCGCTCAGTAACGAAGATGTCTTCACACTACCTCCGCCTAGTATCTTCGCTGCCAGCCACCCTGGCGTCCACTTAGGAGGCGAGAGAATTGCATTTTCCAGCGTAATCATATGAGCCGCTCTGTAGCTGTCTCTGCGTCTCTCTCAGAGGGACGCACTCTGCATTAGGAGGGGCGCACTGGCGACATGCTTTTCCTCTGGTCACGTGTGCCTGTAGTGACTGACAAAGCCCGTTCCTCTCAGAGGAGGTACCCCGGGCAGGGACGTAGTCAGTGCGTCCTTCTTCAGATAAAATCGTCCGAGACACAGACCAGCACGGGGACTTGGTTTAAGTGGCAGAGCCTCGGTGGCCTGAAGGTGCTGGATGTGGGGACTGTGGGGACCATGTGCGGAGGAAGCACCAGCAGACACTGCCTCCAACTTGGCGGCACTGGCGCATCTGAGTGGAGGCTTACTCCCTGCGGTTTAGGATGAGAACGTTTTTCTTTTGAAGTACCTTCTACCATCTTGTGAAGAGCCCCGAGCCTGGAAATAGTACGACACTCTGGACCTTGGGACAACCGTCCACAGGCCGCCAAAGCTCCTGCTGGTTTGGGGCGGGCGGGACGCTTTGCACACTGCAGCCTCCGTGCACTCCCTTAGCCGTCGTGACAGGGTTCGGGGGCTTCGCTCCTGTCGGTGAGAATTGGTTCGTTCTCCCTTGGCTTCCCCCAGTCTTTTCCTTTATTCTCTCAGAAGCTTCCTGCTGCCTCACAAAACAGCAGGAAGCTGTCGTGGGCCCTTTAACTGTCTGACCCGTCGGACTCTGTTGGCAGACCCGCAGTTCCAGTTCCAGGGAGCCTGGTCACACTGGCCTCAACCTCGTCTGATCTTTTTTCCCTTAAAGACCTTCTTAGTGCTACCTAAATGCCACTAACTAGCTCAGCAAACTGCTAGGTCATTGTCATACAATGAAGGGACATTGGAATTTCCTCCAAGAATGGCTGGCCGGGGTCCCTGGGACACTCCAGACAGACTGCATGGGAGCATGGGGCTGGACCCCTGTCTGTCATTCAGAGCCGGTCTTACAAGAGGCAGCAGTGGTCTAGGCACCATCCGCTTGCTAAGTTCCAGACTCCTTGCGTTGTTTCCCATATTAGCTAATTCTGCGTTTATTTTCCAGTAGGAAGATGTAATGGCAGGCATTATCCCAACGTCTGTGATAATTTATAGAAGCTGAGTCCTCTCTGAGGCTTAGTGAGGAATCACTAACAAAACAGTTTCTTTACCTACCAGATTTCAGGAATTTCAGTGGCAGCAACACCTGTGACCTAAGCTCCCACCGTATCTATCTACCAGGCGCTGTGAATTCTGACTTCGCTGCTAAGAGTAACCCACAGAGCGCACACGGCTGGAATGAGACACGCCCTGCTCGGTGCACTTCGTGTGTCTGAAGCCCCTCCGCAGCTGCCCGTCAAGCCGCCTTTCCTCTCTTTCTGTGCAGACGTAACCTTGGTTACTTTCCTTCCAGATGTTGCCTCAGATCGCTTTCTGTCGTTTACTTGGCTGAACAAAGAAACACAAATCTGAGGCCTGTTGCTCCCCAGTTAGTAGGAGAGCACCCCTTGGGCCCTTGGGGCCCCGCTCTGCATTGAAGGACAGGTAGCTGGTGTGCCACACTTTCTCTCTGTCGTCAAAGACACTCACGTGTCCGTTAACCAAATCATAGCATCTGGCAACTCTGGGAAGTAAGAGAGCCGTGAGAAAGACCTTCATCAAGGAGACTCTCCTGAAGTGGGCTCCCTGAGACCCACAGAGCCTCAGGGGTTCCGGTGGGGGGCTCAGCAGTGTCCTTGCGTGTGATGGATCGCGATGACACGAGGCCAAGGGCTGAAGAAATGGGAAGCTCACGCGCCCTATTCTGGAAGAAGCATGTTTGATTGTGACCAATAACTCTGGCAAGCAACGTGGCCTGAGAATGGCTTACAGTTGTGGGAATTTATCCCATGTCCCCTGCCAAGGTCACTGCAGGGGCCCGGGCCAGCTGCCACGTAGCTTAGACTTGCAGAAGGAACTCATCTCCTGTGCCACCTGCCCTTAACTACTCTAAATTTAGTTGATATTTTTTCCCCGTCAGCAGCCATTACTGGCTTTTGCCTCTCCAGCTTTTTACTGCTTTCCAATTTTCTTCCTCAAGCCAAAGAGAACATGCTCTTGGGGCCAAGTATTCGTTCTCGTGTAGGAGGAAAAGTAAGTGGAATCATTTCAAGGCCCAAGAGAACAAAAAAGTCATTTCTCCCTCTCTGTCGCCTCACACCTCAACGCAGGCTGCACTGGGGAGGGGAGGCCGTGCCGTGGAATTTGGAACAGCGGGCCCTCGCACTGAGTGACAAGCTCCAGGAATGCGGGAGGCATGATCTCTTTTCCTGGTTCCAGCCACTAATGACTCTGGCGTGCATAGGCATGAGTGGAAAACTTTCAGAAGCTTTCGCAGCCCAGATACTTCGGATGGGAGTGAGTGAGGCCCCCATGCTTTGTAGCCACGGCGGGAGATTAAGTCACGCTGTGGTGTCTGAGCTGGAGCAACTAGCGGGGAGCACATTTGCCTGGTGTTGATGGCGTCCGTGTTACCTGGAAAACAACAGCCCTTGCCCTTCGAATGACCCCGAGGGCTTTCTCCACTGGACATTTCGAATACCCCGGGAAACTCAGAGCCGACGACGAGTGGATTCGTGTGCGGCCTTGCAGAGCACCAGCTTCCTCCAGACGTTTGGTTGTGCCATCCTCCTCCTGAGCTGTCTTCAGGGCACACAGTTCAGACTCCTCACAATTGTCACTAAGTGTGCCTGCGCTCGTAAGGCTCCCGGTGGGACTATCCTCTCTCCCTCACTTCTCTGCCTTTATGGCGAGCGCCGTCATGCTGAGCGGGGAGGGATCAGACGCCGAGTGTCTGCTGCTCAGAGGAGGTGCTTGAGAACCGTGGAGAGCACGAACAGATGCTCCCTGTCCCCTGACCTCGCGTCTCAGCATCCTATCAGGGTCCTTCACCCCTGTGCCCACCCCCTTGCCAGGCCGTTGCTGGCGGGACGGTAGAATCTCAAAGCAGTGCATACAGTAGGTGCTCATCCTGGGTTCAGGCATCTGTTGGACGAATACATTACCCAGTTTAAGTCTCTCCCGGGCAAACTCCCACTTGCTGGCGTCGTAAGGGAGACGCTCGCACTGCTCGTCCAGGGGGACTTCATCTGGATCCATTATGATTGACAGGTAGTCCGTCTTTATTTCTGTAGAAGACTGAGAAACAAAGAGACCTCAAAGTCACCAACAAGGAAACGACTTAAAGACCCCTGGCTGTCCAATATAAAACAACATTTGGCACGTCTGCTGCTTTTTGGGTTTACCTGGTTGACACCTGTGGTGGGGACAGACAGGAGCCCACTGTGTACACATGCGCACGTCACACCTGCACGTGCAGTGTCACGGGACAGGCCTTACTTTTCCCACACCGCGTCTCTGTGGTGCGAGCTCTGCTGTTCTATCTCATATAAAACGCGCTTGGATTCTCCGGTGACCTTATTGGTTGCTCTTAATTAGCCTGTGACAGTCCTCTTCTAAAAAATGCAAAGGATTTTCATAAAACCGTTCCAAACAGTGACTGACAATAACTTTCCGTGGCCACTCTGTGTCAGCGGGAGTACATATCACCGATGGGTCGACAGGGCGCTCCATGGCTGTAGCTTTCCTACATTTGCAAGAAAGGCCAGAGGTGGCAAAGGAAGCCCACTGCCCGTGGGACAGCCGAGAGGCACGTGTCATATGCAGTGAGGGCCTGTCCCCTTAGCTGCGGCAGCTGCCTGAAATGGCTACAGGGTCCGTTGGTGACATTAGGATATGATTTACCTTCAGTGAGAAATAGAAGTGGATTATTTCACCAGCCGAGGAGCTCGACTTACAGCCACATCCCAGGTTCGTTCGGCGTTGGTGGGATGTCAAATAAGGAAGGCGAGCGTCTGCCTTCGAGTGCTTGTTTTATCTCGGTAATGCCAGTCAGTCCCAGGAAATACCCTTTATTCCAGATCATTCTTACTGTCTTAGACTCAAACCCACGGGTGTATTTCTTGTTAATCGTAGAACTGACTTCCCTTATGTGGGCTGAACAGAGAGGAAGTAAGCTCACCCACCCTAAAAGTTATGCGAACTTTATTTCAATGCATTCTAGGGCCCGTCCTTCAGCGCCTGTCCTTTACAGGGTCAGAGTTCAGCAGAGAAGACAGCCTCCCCAGCACACCATCCCACACCCGCCCACATTCTTCAGCCCTCACCCCGCTCTGGGCTGTCACCGCTCACCTCATCCATCACTTGCAGTCAGACTCTTTCTCACAAAAATTATCACTAACTGCTCAAGGCAGAAAGATTTGCCTGGCCTCCACAAAGAATGGAAAACAGGAAGACCTGGAGCACGTTTGTCACGAACTGCTATTTGCCCCTGGTGTCGGCTGTAGGGGCCCAGCCTGGCAGACACTCGTGCGAGTCTGTGAGGCTGTGGAGGGGTGTAAATTCCTATGCGGGGTCCTGGGTGTTCATTAGAGAAGCTGCTGGCGCAGGTTATGTGACTAAACTTTTCAGTGTCCAGTGTGCCAAGGCCACAAGTAGCAGCTCCAGTCTTCAGAGAGCAGAAGAGTGCTGAGGCCTGGCAGGGACATCTTGGGTTCTGCAGGGGGCCGGGATGGGGGTGGCAGCGGTGTTGGTGGAGGTGCCGAGGGGGCAGGCGAGGGAAAACAATGTCCCCGTGTGGCACCTGTGGAATGTGATGGTTTATCTCAATAAGGCAGATGAGAGGAAACACCAAAAAACCTACAGTAAGGGCTCTGAGGACAGCGTGATAGCAGACTCTTAGTTGACAAATGTTTATTCTCTCGGTTGACATTAACACTGAGCAGCGGGGGTGTTGCACCACCAAGCGCTTCAGAGCCCAGGCGTGGAGGCCGACTGCCCAGACCTGCATCACAGCTCGACCTCTGACCAGCCCAGAGCGTCCAGCGAGTTGCTGACCTTTCCTAAGCTGAGTTCCTTCTCTGTAAAATGGTGATGAGCGTCCTTATCTCAGAGGGTCCCGAATGTCGATGAAATAATCCATGTAAAACTGTCAGAACTGGGCCCAGGTGCAATAATAAGCATCAGTGAAGCTAGCTATGATTATAACACCAGCCTAGGCGGGGTGGGGATGAAAAGGCAAAGTAGTCTTTATCACAAACGAGGGATTTACCTGTGGTTAGAGGAACCACATGCAAATAGCTTTTGATGCCTTGTTCCTCTCTGCCTCCTACAGCCAGTCACTTGTCCAGCTTTATGGGCATTCTGTCGTTTAGATGATAATCTCTCCCGCTCATCCTTTCTTATCAACATCAGAATGCCATAGAACTTTAGAAATACAACAGACCTATTCAATTTAGTCCCAATTTGCCTTTCCAGTTTTTTGTCCACTGTGCTCCTATGTGCGAAGTAGCCAGACCCCTGCCCTGATCTGGGGAGTGGGAAGCAGCAGGGCTGTGTTTTTCTGCTGCTTTCCTTCCAGCCACAGCCTTCAAAGTCTGTCTCTGAACTGCACTGTCTCTGAAGTCCCCCCCGCCCCCCGCCTTTGAACTCCCGCAGCCTCTGCGCCTCCCTCGCAGTCTCGGCCCGCTTCCCTGTGTGCCTGTCTCCCTTTTCAGATGCTATTGTTTGACCCTCGTTTCCTTCTAATTGTCATGTCTCAGAACCATCGCCACACATGGCGAAAGCCCGAGGTTACGCATCCACCGCAGAGGATGGCTGCGCGCCTCGCTTCTCGCCCTAACAAGTACACTTCATTGGTTTTGAACATCAAGTCTATGGCCAAAAAACCTGGGTTCAAAACCCAGCTCCAGCTCTAATTAGCACTGCGACTTTGGACAAGTTACTTGAAGTCTCTGAGCCTCGGTCTCCCTCTCTGTAAAGCGGTAACGATGCTGTCTTCGCCGCTTTGAGTTGTTTAAGGGGTCGTTGGAGATGCTACGCAGAGAGCTTCCCACAAGGCCTGGCACGTTGATAAGGGCCGATGCGTCTCTAGGCATCGCGGAGGCCTCTCTGACTTTTTTCAGGTTTTCTTGATTTTACCTCCTAAATCTCCCTTGACTCTAATCATTTAGACTGAGCGGCCATCGTTGCTTACATGGACGGCTGTGAAGCCTCCGAGGAGTCTCTGTTCACTGTCCCCGGCCTCCCTCCATTCTCCTCACAGCAGCCACAATGATCTTTGCAGACACAAATCTTCCCGCACTGAAATCACTACCTGGGCTCAACAGCCCTGCTCCCCGCTCCCAGGCTTCCCGTTCTAGAATACAGACCAACTTCCTTACTGTGGCCTGCCAGCCCTGCCTGGTGGTGCGGTCTCCTGTCTCCCTGCCTTGTTCCCACCACTGCAGCCCCGCTGGCCTCTGTCAGCCTCTGTCTCACGATGTCCCTCTGCCCCGGCCCAGCTTCACGTGGCTCTTCTCTGCCTGCAACACCTTCCCCTCCTCCTCTGCCTGACCACGCCCTCACGCGTCCTCCTGTGGGCTGATTCCAGTTACACTTTCACGTCTGTCTAGTAGTTGATCACAGTGGGTCTCCGCCCTGGGCTGCACACACTGTCATCCGTTCTCCACTGTCACCAGACAGCCTTACCCAGGGCCCGGCGCTCCGCCTTGAGCAGGCACAGTAAATATCTGAGGCATGAATGAGTGAATGAACGCATGAGCATCGGCTCTTTCCCCATTGAGCTTAGAGAAGCAGGTCAGGCTGCAGGCCTCACAGAGAAATCTGATGTCCCGACTTCCGACCCCAACCTCGCGTTCCCAAGAACTCGGTTTCCCCAGGGGTGCGGCAGGCGTGCAGTGCAGGGCACGTCTGTGTTTCCGTGTTGTGACAGGTGCGTCAGCGGTGCGCCCGTAGTTGGCTTTTTATTTCTTAGGTTCAGTAAAAGAAGGTTTCATGGGTCTCATACTGAATTTAATTGAAAGACTTTTTTACATACTTTTAGATCCTAAGTATCCTTTCTGTGCCTGGGAATATTCATCTGCCTGTGTTCTAGCCTTTTGTGAATGCCCCACTTTATGGATTAGAGACATTTAACTGATTCACTTTTCAGCGTTCACCAGGAACGAGAGGGAAGGGAAAGACGTCTAACGTTTGTTCAGTGCCTGCACGAGACATCAGCCGGGCACCTTAGACTCTCACGTAGAAAGGAGCATAGAACCGACCTGAAATGTTCTTACCCTTTTCAGTTTTCGGATAAAGAGAGTTAGCAGGAGCCAGAAGAGAGTCGCAGCCACACACGTGCACGTCAGCGTGATGAGCTCCAGGTTGGATCTGTCCGAGGTGCCTGGAGAGACACAACACCAGGGCGGTGCTAAGCTGGTCCTCAGGCTTAGGGACCCCACAGTTTCGTAGGCGAGGCCGGGGCCCTGGATCGCGCAGAGGCGTTTGGCACCGATGCCCTCGGGGCTGCTCATTCCTGCCCGTGGGATTGTCCTAATCTACCCCCACTAAACTAGGAGACTTTCCAGAAATCATGCCGTTGAGTGTGCAAACTTCATAGTCCCAGAAATGGCCAGTTAAATATCAGGAGAAATTAAGAATGGGAAAAAATTAAGACAGGAACAAAAGCTATTGACCTGCTAAATCTGGAAGATGTTAAATCTCCCTAATGGGTTTTAGAGGGAATTCTAAAAAAAAAAAAAAATTACGTATCAGGGCTCCTTTGGGACTCACAAAATTCTTCAAAGTAGGTTTTAGAACTAAAAATAAAGCTCAAGGACTGTCACAATTGCTTGCTCCTTTTGGAACCCCCAGGCCAAATCACCCACGTCCAGCTCCCCACGTCTAGGGGCTCTGTTGCTGACCTCTCAGCGTCAGCCTGTGGTGACTGAGGTGAGAAGAGGTGACCAAGAGGTGACCGCTGAGGTGGGGTTCCTCCCAGTCACCTCCCTCCGCAGGATCACAGAGATCAAAGGCTGAGCGCTTGTGCCCCAGGACCAGAAAGAAAAGACTCTGAATATTCAAGAGAAGCCTCCACAGGGGAAGCGCTCTGGGATTTACAAAGGAATGCCCCCCGTGGGCGGGAGAGTGTCCCAGGGGACAGTTCCTCAGAAATTCTAAAGTGAGGTCCTGAGCCTTTAACTTCGTGAAAAGGAGACAGAGGCTTAGTATTAATTTAGGCCAAGAACAACTGAAACATTTTTTTTTAGAAATGATGACCTGGGTGATACCATTTATCGGGCACTTAGTTGCCAAGCTCTCGCAATCACCCTACGAAGTAGGTGGCAGTGACATCCTGTTTCACAGATGAACACATCGTCTCGCTGGCTCTTTGTTCCAAGTCTACAGAAACGTATTGCGCCCTACCACAGGCCAGGAGGAGACGGGAAGATGAATAAGGGACAGTTGGCACTCAAGGAGCTCGCTCACAGCCTAATCAAGAGACAAATCAAAAGAAATGAGACAAAAAGGGTTTCAGAGGTTGAGAGAGTGTAACCTCTTGGAAGAAGAGACATTTGAAGGGGATTTCGACCTATAGAGGTGAAGGCAGGGGAGGGGAATATAGGCAGAGGGATCAGTATGAGTAAAGACCCAGCCTGGGAAACGGCAGGGAACTGGTGAGAGCTAGGACAGGGCCAGACCCTGAGCACCCCGGGCATCTGCGTGGAGGTTCTCCGCCCTGAATCACAGTATAATAGTGCGCGAGCTGGGAACCTGCGCCTCTTGGCTCATCGGTTCAGCCACTGAGTACATGCACTTCCTGCTGCACCCCGTAGCCCCTGCAGTGTGCCTGCCTTTCAGTGTAGAGGGCAAACTGACATTTTCTGTGCGTCCGTCCCATGCCAAAGTCCTGCCCGTTCTACTCCCATGGCTCATGAAATCGTCGCCTCCTGTGCTAGCCCGCCATCACTGCCTAAATCAAGGCGCCATCAGTTCTCCCCTGGACAACTGCTTCAGCTTCTTAACCAGCCCAGAGTCCTCCAGTCTCTCCTCCACCCTGGAGCCCGAGTGGCCGTCCCAAATCACAGACCTAATCCCATTCCTCTGCTGCCCAAGGGCGTGGTCTGGAGCCCACGGTCTGGAATTCGGATCCTAATGGCCAGTATGTTCGAAGCTGGAGCGAAGCAGTGGGATGTAGGGTTTGGTTCTCTGGCTCCCTCCCTCCCTGGCGTTGAGCAGAGAGCCTGGTACGTAATCGGTGTCCCGGAGACACGGGCTGCGTGAGTGAGTGTGGCTGCATGTGCCGCTTGGTCAGCTTGTGGCTGAGTGTCCCTGGACCTCATGGGATTGACTGAGGAAACTTCCTTGAAGACGTTTCAAAGTATGACCACCTTTTTCTCACTGTGCATCCTTTCCATGGGAGTATCGTAAGCTCAAGTTAACATAAGCTTGGACTTTCTACCCCACAGTGAGAGGTCTCATGCTGCTTCGCTGCACACACGCACTTCTTTGCTTATGCTGTAAATAAGTTTCCTGGACTCCTATTGGGACCTGCTGAGGGTACAGTGGCCTTTGGCAGTTGGAAATGCTGATAGCATCTCGAGACAGGGCACTGTCTACATAAAACTTCTCAGATGCCTCCTGCTTGGAGTGCACTGGGAGAGACCCCCCCACCCCCCACTGTGGGAACATTCCCACTGCATTCCACGGGGCAGGAAGTTGACCCCCAGAGTAATTCCACAGTCCTTACTCAGGCGAAATTCCTTTCGGTGGGACCGAATGTGTTTGTGTGCACTTAATACGTTTAAAGAATCAACTCATTAAAAACATTCCTCAAGATGAACATTTTTTAGAAGGGAAAGATCTACTTAACATTCTATTTCTGCTTACTGAATACTAAAATAAGGGTTTTACAAGCTATAATGTAGTATCTCTGTATCTCATTTGATAGCTCGATCTCTGTCTTTATCTGGAAAGTAACCGTCAGAACAGTCTTAGGTTAGGTGGACTGCTGTGGGCGTTTTCTCAGAGGTCAGATATCCACACACCAGCCTGACCAGACCCAGATTCAACTTGCTGCTGACAGCTGGTGAGCTCAGTGCATGAAGCAGGCCAGCTGCACATGGCAGGGCAGAGGAGGCCAGCGGAAACGTGGGTGGGGTTTGACAGTGACAGGAGTTAGCACAAGGTCTCAGGGACATCACTTCCATATGGTATGGGGTTCCAAACTGGTGCTGTTTCTCTCAGGCTTGTAGGAATATTAAAGTTACCGTCATATTATTTATGCAGCTTTTTAGGAATATGTGCACACCAGTTAGGAATGCCTCTCAAGGACGGTGACGTATGGAAATGTTGTATTAGGTTTAAATTTGAAGTATGTTTGCAAGAGAATTTTAGGTAAAGAAATTTAAAATTGTTCCTAGGTGCCATCAGTTCTGTAAACCTTTTTTTATTATAGCACATTAAATCCTTAGGGCAAATAGGATTTTCGTGGTTTGGAACAACATTTGGGTGACTCACTGGTAATTCTAGGAAGACTGTGTAATATAGAAAGTTTCGCTGAAATGGGATTCGGTTTATCGTATTAACAAATAATGGTGTTAATTCGTATTTTAAGTCTCCACGTGGTGCCGGAGGCTGTTTCAGACGTGCTGGTTTGGATTGCCATTATTGACGTCCATTGTGTAGAAGAGCCCACTGCAGCAGTTTGCCCAAGGTAACGCAGCTCGTGAGCAGTGACGCACCTGGCTTCAGACTGGGGAACAGTTCTCAGCTCGGCCACTCCCCAGCTTGGTGACCCTGGACAGAGTCCTAAGGTTCTCTGAGCCTCAGATTCTTACTTGTCAGTATGAAAAAAAACCTTCATCGGATTATTGCAAAAGTTAAGAAGGCTAATGCACATTATGTGCATGTTCAAATAGCATAAAATATAACTGAATTAATTTCATCACCATTTTTGAATTCTCGACTGAGAACAGCTTTATGTCATTGTTTAGATCTGCAGTACAAAGGCAGGTCTATCCCGCCCCCCGCCTTCCTGTGTGAAATGAGAGAGCAGGCAGTTCATCTCTGTTCTGAGCGCCCTTCTCTCCTCCAGAAACCCCCCTGAACTGCCAGCACCCAATAAAGGAGTAACATCAGTCACCCGCAGCACTTGTGAGTTAGCTTATCACATCCTTCCTAGTGCCAGGAGAGGCCTGGGAGTGAATGCAGGGGCAGGGTTCAGGAGGAGAGATGCCAGCGTGGAGGACACTCAGGGTTCGGAGGAGAAAGGAAAACTGAAAGCTGGCCAAGGATGCTCAAAGGAACGGCTGGAGACCCAGGACAGTGTTGCTTTGATCTTTTCCTAGTCTTCACTCTTGGAATCTTGTTCAAGGATGTAGCGTATACTTCCCGCTGTGTGCATCCTTTCCCGAAACGCATTAATGTTTAGTGACTGTGGCACAAAATGGACATATTACACCTTGAATGCCATGTCAGGTGTCGAGACTGCAGGGCCCCGAGGCAGTCCTGTGCTGTCTGGATGTGTACCCATCAGCCATCCTCGGAAATGTCAAAATGGTAGTTAGTCTTCGGGTTGTTTTCTCCTGTGTAATTATAAATGCTATCAAAATAGCATTTCAATAGCAAGGCCTAAATCTGTTCTAAGAACGTATTTATATATATCGTGATTACTTGCAGTGATAATTATAGCACATAGTTATCTTAAGTTGTTGGACGAAGATGCACCACACTTTCATTGCCACAGCCCCATTGAGTTCCAAGGGCTATTGCATGCTCTGTTAATTTCGGAAATTATTTTGGTTAGTAACAGTTTGTTGTTGCTTTTAATGTTGGAACTTCCCCTCTGAGAGCTTCCCTGTGCTCCTGTGCCGTCCAAACCAAACAAGACCCCTGATTATTTAAAGAAGCTACTTTGACTCCACAGTCCACTCATCCTTTTCAGCTACAAAAATAACACATTGTTTTATCTATGAGTATAAGAATCCTTTTTCAAAGGAAATAAAAAGAGCAGACAGTTTCCTTCCTGGCGAATTCACGGACCTCTTTAAATCTGTTAAACATAGCCACAGACACAACTTACTTGCCGGTTGCATTTCCTAAACTCAACCTGACAAGATAGGTCAGTGGGAAGGGTCTCTGTCGTATATGAGGAAATCAGTCCAAAGCCAGGAAACCTTTCACAGCCACCAGAGTGAGAAGAACAAGGCCTTAGAGTCTAGGGCGAGAATTTCATTTCAGAGGTAAAATGACTAAGCACGTATGCGTCCAACTGTCTGAACAGCATCCAAGGACAAAAGTTTTACTCAGTGAGCCCAAAGTGCTTTCATTAGACTGCATCTAACTCACAAGCCACAAAATATCAACTTTCAAAAGATTTCCCTTCTCCAAATGACACCCTTGAGTGGAGCTGAAACCCGCCTCCTTGAAACGTCACAGTCGTCTCCCTTTCTTGGTTCTGGTGCGTCAAAGAATGAGTTAAATGTCTCCTCGATCTGAAAGCTCCTTAAACATCCGAAGGAAACAATCATGTCAGCCCAAGTTGTCTCTTTTTTGGGCTAAACATTCTCATTTCCTTGGACCGTTTTGTCATGATCCTGTCAAGGCTATGGCTCCATTTGATTATGCTTCTCTCGTAAGTGGGGACAGTATTTCAGGTGTGTTTGGATGACTGCAGGTCAGGTAATCTGTTTTCTCAGCTAACCACAATTTTTAAGCAAAGAGGTTGGATACAGCTTCACTCTGAAAGCAGAAAAAAATATGAACGAGAGCAAGAGAGAAGGCAGAAAAATTATGAAAAGCAGGCACAAGAACTCAAAAAGCATGGCAGTCGGGGGCAATAAAGGCTAAAAAGGATGGATGTGCGTGCGTATGGGGGGAGGCCATGTTGCAAACTATACCATTTCTCTAAATGACACTGAAAATTAATGCTACACGAGGGCAACAAGGTCATGAATCAAAAGTACAAACTCCTCAGAACATTCTGTGGACTAGCCAATAGGAAATATTTAACATTATTTAGACTTTGTTATTGCCAAGGAAGATAGCGATGGAAAAGTCCAGAACTGCCTCGTAACTTGCTGTCTTCTTCTTGCCTCGTTCACCCTGCCAATCCCACGTCCTGCAAAGCCTCCTTTCGAGGGCAGGTACCCTCCACATCCCTTGTCTCTAAGAACTTCGTCGGCCCTCGGTAACAGCACTGCGTGGTCTTCTAGAGCAACTAGTGTTTCTCCTTTACCCTTGGGAGGAGCTCACAGTGCTGCTTGACCTGGCACTAATTGTTTCACGTGCCCCTTAATGTCCCTTTAACTAAGTCTTCAGACCCATTGCGGTTAGGGATTGTGGCTTCCGCTTCCATATTCTGCACAGTCCTGGGCAGATAAAGAGGTGGTTACGTTCACAACGAATTGAACTTGACGTATCTCTGTTGCCTTGAACGCTATATGTATTTCTTTTTCAGATGTTCAGTGGTGGTTTTCTAAATAGAGTAATCCAACAAACACTATCGAGTGCCTCTGGGATGGAAATGTGAAGAACAGGCAGTGATAAGCTTTGCGTTAAAGGTGCATGTCGAGTGCCATGGGAGCACAGAGCGGGAAATGATGGTGAGCCAGGAGGTCTGGCGTGGAGAAAGTGAATTTTACAGGATGCGTAGGGTTGCCGGTGGGGAGGACGAGTTGGAGGGAGGCCTGGTCAGGCGAGAATGCGGCAGCCCAGGAGGAGCGTGCGGCGTGCAGCACAGCTGGGCGCTGGGCGTGTGGCAGGGTAGGGACGAGGGTGGAGAAGCAGTCTGCGGGGACCTGTGTGCCCAGGTGAGGGCGGAGGAGAGCGGGAACCACTGCGAGATTTGAGGCAGGGAAGTCTCATGTCATAAAAGTCGTCATTTAAAAAGATAGCTCAGTTTGGGAGTGGATCAGAGGGTGGGGACGAGGAGTAGGTGGGCTTTTTGGGGGCTAAGAGATGATGCCAGGAGAGGACGTGGAGTGGAATGTCTGCAGCCGATAGGGGTAGTGGTAGTTCAGGGGAAAATGATCCCCCTCTCCTTAGGACGTGGAGTGGAATGTCTGCAGCCGATAGGGGTCATTCAGGGGAAAATGATCCCCCTTTCCTCGAGAGCAAATGATTCGGGCCGATTGAAACTGATAGAAGTTAGTGGCAGCAGCATACTGAATGTCCGACTTTTCAGAAAAGCGAGACATCGGTGGGCAAAGGAATCAGTGTAGGAAATGTAGAAGCAGGTACGGAGGAAACCGAAAAGAGGGTCACAGAGTCTGGAAGCTCAGTTTCACCCCAAGGCCTTGCAGACACGGTCCTAAGGCACGCCGCAAGGAAGGGGACGGAGGGGACGTGGAGACCCAGGGCTGCGAAGGCAAGACGCTGGACTCAGGCCCCGGCCTCTGCGCCTGTGCGTTGTGCGACCTTAGGCAGGCAACTTAACCTTGTCGAGTCTCCGTCTTCCCATCCCCAGTCTGAAAATGCTACTCTTTACGTCTTTGGATTCTGATGAAGTTAATGGGATAAGTACGTCAAGCGTCTAGCACAGTGCCTGCACATAAAGGTGCTGCATAAATATCAGTCTCCTGCTAAGTGCTGGGCACGGCTGTGGGGCACAGAGTGGCGTCAGACAGTTCCCACCCCAAGGGTTTACAGGTCAGTAGGGGAGAGAGCATGTCGATGAGTAAGCAGTAATACTATGCAGGGCAAGGCGAGCCCTGAAAATGCGCCGGAACCGCGGTGTGGGAGAGCAGAGAGCGAAGGCGTGTCTGACTCAGCGGTCATGCTGGGGGACGTTACAGGCTGGGGGGCATCTAAACTGGCCTTCGAGGATGAGGAGGATTTGGAAAAAATAGAGAGGGAGCCTGGACCACAGACGTCCCAGGCCGTGGCCGGCCCACGACCCCTAGCAGAGACGGAGGGCACAGGCACATGGCAGGGACGTGGCGGGTTGGGGTGTGTCGTCGCGGCTCTGGGTTTCGTAAGAACTGCTCTGTGTATCTTGCAGGTTGTTGTGAGGACATGCAGGTACCTCCTGGACTGGGGGTTAGGGGTCCTCCTAGCTCTCTGTTGCTACCCTCTCTCAGGTGGAGGTCCCTCCCCAGCCTGAGGCCACCACTCCCTGGGGGTCCCATCTGGAGTCCTCGTTAGGAGATAATCGAGTAGGACCATTACTAAAAGTATTTGGGAACGTTCCTCTTGACTTTTTCTGAACGGATGAATTTGCGGTCGAGGACGGCCAGACCTTTCAGGAGACTGACATCAACGTGTAAGAGAATGGGGACGGTGCTCTGTTTTGAAGGAGTCTGAATTCTCAGAGTGGCAGTCTGCACGCAGTGTAAGTTTCCGGGGCGGAAGAACCGACATCTGTCACTCTCCCCCTAGTCCTCGCCCAGAATCCGTACGCAGCCTGCAGTCTCCTGGGAGTGCTGAGACGCAGGCTTCCGATCAAACGCATCGTTTTACGTGACACCTCAGTGTGCTGTAGACAGTCACATCTAGGCGGGGCCACTCTGATATTTGATGATGCTGTGAGTGCTATGTTTGGGTGATTCTTGGAGAATCGAAATTGAGGTCCGAACTATTTCTGAATGGAGGCCACGTGGCCCCAGCCCAGGGTGGGGTTAGGCCTCTTTGGATTTCGCTGCTAAATAAACTCTGAGGCCTCTAAAGAGGAAGCACTTGGAGTATTTTTCTTAAATGTGGTCTGTTTGTTATATGTTGCTTTTCTCTAATAGTATTTTGCCGCTTACTTCATGTTAAAAGCCAGCGTATGCAAACGTTTGGGAGCTATGTCCAGCTCATGGGAATCAGAAACGGAGAAGGAATGGACCATGTCCAGTGTGTGGATTGCCCCCCATCTACACGCGCCATCTTCCTTCTTGGATCTCTCTCAGGTGTGGCCACCGGCCATTCTCTGGGTCAGTGTCGTCACGCTGGCAGCTAGCTTTCCTCTCTTCTAGGAACTACTCCCCCCTCTCCCCAGGGACTGTTGGGATGGCAGCTCTCGAGGGCGGCCAGCCTATCCCCAACTGTGCCTCCCGCGTGGAACCAGACAGGCCCTTCCCAGCGGGACGGGGGAGGGGGCAGGAGGCCAGGGGAAGGCACAGACTGGAGGGGCAGCAGGGGACCCGGAGGTGCAAAGCTAAGCAAACGGGATTCGACGCCCAGCAGCTCCCGGCCGCTCCGGCCGCTCCGGCCACAGTTACCTCGCACGGTGAGGCGCGCCCAGCTTTCCACGGAGCCCTTCTGGTTGGTGGCCTTGCAGCGATAGACGCCTTCGTCCTCTTCTGTGACTCTTTCAATAAACAGCGTGCTGCTGCCTGGTCCTAAAATAATCCCTGCGGAACGAGAGGGTTAGATTAGTGAGCCTGGGGGGCAGACAGAAACCGCTCCTCCGTGACACAGCCCTCCTCCTGCCGTGACGCACCCAGACAAGGAAGTCCCCGTGCTGGCCGGCCTGGGGCAGGCCTGCTTCCTTGCCGTCTCTGGTCCGGGCTTTCTAACAGCACCTTCAGCACCCCGTGGGGCTCTGACCCCAGCTTTGGAGACGCAGCTGGCCAAGGCCATCCGCTGTGTGGAAGAAACGCAACGGGGCTGCCATACCCGGCTCTAAGGGACAGCCATCCGATGCCCCCGTGACTCGGTGCCCGCTGTGTGCCAGGCACCACCTGACACTTCTTGTCTTGAGGCTAGGACCGTCTGGAGGGTGTTATGGTCTCCACGTTATGACCATGGAGACGGATCGGCCAGTTAAGCAGCTTGACCAAGCGCATGCAGTGCCACCGACAGCCGGTCTGCGGCACGTGGGTCAAAGCGAGTCACGTTTCCTTGGTCTTGGTGGTGGGGAGCCGGGGCCGTGGTTTAATCTGGGCCTCACTGCGAAGCTTTGTCACTTGAGGCAGGTCACTTAACCTTGCTAAGTTTCACTGTCCTCAGTCTTAATGTGCAAGCAGTTCCCACTTGGTAAATGGGAAAACGAATGGCAAGTGTGCAGCACGCAGTGAGTGTGTAGCGGACACAGCTCCGCAGCCACCGTGGAGCCTGGCGTCCCGGGAGGGGCCCCAGGAGTCTGCGGACCCGGCCTCCAGCCCCAGGAGCCTCAGCACCAAGCCTTCATCACATGGGGACTCTGCCTTAATGAGTCTGTGTTAGACGCCCCGGGGCGGGTGGGGGTGTGGGGGCATGGTGTCTGGTGAGGAAGGAAAAGTAACACACATCTGTACATTCTCTCCCTCTTTCTCCCTCTTTCTCTCTCTCTTACTCTCATTCACTCTCAGACACAGAGCTACACGAGCAAACGGAAAATATCTAGTGAATGAGAATGACTAAATGTAGCACGTGCCCAGTGAAAAGCAGAGTCTGGGGCAGGCAGGGAGACGGGTAAGAAGAGGAGCACTCAGGGAGGGTGGCATGGGGGAGGTGGGCCTGGACTGGAGGCTGGAAGAATTAGCGGAGGTGAAGGGACGAAGGAAGGCTGGAGAAAAGGCGTGACGCTGGAGTGAATAGTCATCGATCGCTTGTTCTGGAGCACTGGCCAAGTGGGCCTGGCCAGACAGACTGTAGGCTATGTTCTGTTAGTTTTAATAGTTTGTATTCACCCAGATTATAAAAGATATATTCAATATAGAAAATTTGAGAATTGTTGGAAAGCATAAAGGAAATGTACAATCTTACTTTCTTGATATTTTGCCTTTAGTCTTTTAAAAGTGGACGTTTTTACAGTTTGTTCATTTATATAATATTTTTGAGCTCTTACTATTACACTATTCTAGATGCTGGTGATACAATAATAAGCAGGGTAAACAAATCCTTGCCTACAAAGGGCTTAATTATAGCTTTGGAGAATTACAAATAAATAATGTAATTGCAAGTAGCAACGAAGTCCGAGACGAAAATATACCAGGTTAAGGGGATGGTGAGTTAAGGATGGTGAGAAGGCGATTTTAGGTCGGCTGCTTCAGGAAAGTTCTCTGAGGAGGTGACGTCCAGGCAGAGACCTGAAACACGGAAGAGTGAGCAGTCTGAAGCTCTGGAAAGGAGTCACACAGGAGTCCTGGGGCAAAGGTGGGCTCAAGGCACAGTGAGAAGGCCAGTGTGGCGGGAATAAGCCCCCGGGAGCGATGAGAGCTAGGCAGGGCGTGGGACTCTATTCTAAGCATGCAAGAAGGCCACTGGAGGTTCCAGGGCCGTATGGGGACGAGGTGGGCACAGGGAGAGCAGTTAGTTTGCTATTGAAGTCGTGGGGTGAAAGATGTGTGGCTTTTGAAGTGGAGCGACTGTGTCAGGAGTTGAATTGGTGGCTTCAGTGGTATTTCCGAAGGCAGAACCCTCGGGCTCGCTCACGCATGGGCGTGTGCTCCATACGAAGGGGTGGTGAAGGCTAAGGACCTGGACAGCTGGGTGCCCTTCCTGTGGGGCAGCAGGGTTCAGGTGCCGACTAGGTGCTCAGGGAGGAGCTCGGGGTTAGGGACAGCTCTGTGGCACAACACACAGAAGGCCCGGAGAGCCACAGGGACGGAAACCAACCTCATGGACGGACATGAGTCCTGGGGAAGAAGAAAGGAGTCTGAGCACCGGCTCTGGGGGAAGAGGAAGAGGAGGCAGTGACAGAGACTGCGAAGAGGTAGTCCCCCAGGGTGGGGCTCCCGGAACCCGAGGGGGCGTTCACAAAGGACAGAGGCCTCCCCCTCTGCGCAGTCTGCCCTGGGGTAGGGCGAAGGGCAGTCCCTGACCACTGCGCTTGACAGCGACCCCTCAGTGAAGTGGGGGAGAGCCAGATTAGTGTCACTGAGAGCGGGGGGTGGGGAAGTGGCGATGGTGGGGGCGGAGCTGGAGGACACGAAGCCAAGCGATCAAATTGTTTTGTTGAATGTGAAATTTTATAGTACGCTTATGTGGGGAGGTGGGAGGAGAGGAAGAGAGAGGGGTAGAGAGAGACGTTAATGATGCAGGGGACAGAAGGAATAATGCCAGAAATCCTGCAGAAGTGACAGGACGTGGACTTTGCTGACCAGAATTGGCCTCGGATAGGCGTAGAGACAGTTAATTCATTTTAACAGGAAGGACGGCAGAGTATAAAGGGACAGGTAAATTGGACAATTTGGTGATAGTTTCCCAGTAAATAAGAGGAACTCATCTGTTTACACTCAGGAAGAGGAGGGACTCTGGAGGTTTGAAGAGAGAAAAAGGTCGTACGATAGTGTGCTGGGAGATTCAGTAGTGAAATGTAAGATTCCTCCTAAGATTATACAACTTTAAATACCGATCGCAGCATAACTGTCCCCCATGCTCACATACTTTTAATATAATCATTCGTTATGCTCATGTATCCTATTGATTGGCGTTTGGTCATATTTATTTGCTTGCACTATAAATAACCATGCAATTAACATCTTTAGGCATAAAGATTTTTCCGTTTGCTTCAGACGACACCCCCCTCAATGTGAATAAAGTCCCTCCCCCTCGCTTTCCAGGACCACTGTCCTGAAGTTGCTGTGTGTCATGCTCATGGATGTGCCTGTGCTTTTTCTCCATAGGCATGTATCTCTGTAGAATATATAATATTGTTTTGTGAATTTAAAAATTCTAAATAAATGGTATCATGCAGTATGTGTACTTTTTCGACTTTTTTTTCCTATTCAGCAATGTTTTAATATTTATTCTTGTCGATACATGTAGATGGAGTTCGTTTTTAACCGAGGTATGATATTCCATTGTAGAAAGAAGCCACAGACTTAAAAAATCCACTGCTCTACTAAAGGATAGTTAGGTAGTTGTCACTTTTTTTTTTTTTTTGATGTTGCCATGTTTTTTGCTAGTCCAGAGGTGGCCGTGATGCACATCTGACGCAGCCGCGTCTACACCGTTATGTGCATCTCCTTGTGCTGTTATACGGTAATCCCATTTCAGCTCCCTCATATAATAAAATCACTTTTCAAAGTACATCAGTTGACACTCTAACCAGCAGTGAGTAAGAGCTGTCCCTCCTCTGTGTACTTACCGATGCCTGGTACTGTCAGATGTTTGAACTGATGGCAATATGCTGGGTGCAGAATAGCATGTCTCTGTGGGTTTAATCTATATTTCTCTGATTACTGGTGTGGCGGAACATCTTTGTTCATTTTTGTTGGCCATTCAGGCTTCTTTTCCTATGAATCGTCTGTGTATGTCCTATGCCCATTTTTCTATTGGCTTACTTGTCTTTCTCTCAATGATTTTAGGGTTTTTTTTTTTTTTTTAAATGTGTTTTGGCTACAGATCCTTTGTTGGTGAAATGTGTTGCAAGTCTTCCTGCATTCCACGAACAGTCTTTTAAACTTTGTTTATGGCGGATTTTTTAGTACAAAAGCTTTTAAAATTGTGTCAAATTTATCAATGTTTTCCATTATCTTTTGCGCTTTTTGTTACTTGTTTAAAAAGAATCTTTTCTTACTCTGATGTAAAGAAAGTATATGCCTTTATATGCTTTCTTCTATAAATTAAAAAAAAATCTGTTTAAAGGATTTATTTAGAGTTTTGTCTGTTCTTTTTTAGATCTTTAATCCACCTGGATTTTTTCGGAGAGAGGAGTACGTGTATGATGTGAGGTAAGAATGTGATTTTTATCATATAAATAGCCAATTATCTCAGCGGCTTTTACTCGATAATCTGCTCTTTTTCCATTGAATTGTGTCAGTTCTGTTGGATACTAAGTTTCCATATTTGTCTGGTTCTGTTCTTAGGCGCGTTATTCGTTCACAGTGACCCGTTTATCTGTTTATCTGTCCCACACAAGTTATGATTACTTGGTAACGTTTTGATATTTGGTGTGGCGTGACCCCTTCTTCACAACTGTCTCGGCCCTTTACCCTTCAATACGAATTTCAGGGTTAGCTTGTCAAATTCTGTGGAAAGTGCTGTTGGGATGTTGATGAGAATTCCACTGAAATTATATAACAGTTGGGGGGAAAGTCGTTTTTATTTTTGGGTTGAAACAAATGAAATTGCCAATATTTCGACCTATAAAAATGGGTCAAAAAAGGTTTAACTTAATAATTAATATTTTCATCCAAGAATATCAAATATCCTTGAGTTATTTAGCTCTTCTTTTATGTCATTTGGTGGTTTTATGATTCGTCTCCTTAATTACCTTGTTTTTTTTGTGTGTGTTTAATCCTAGATATGTTGTAATGTTTGTGGTTATGCCAAAGGGTATTGGTTTCTTGGACCAGTCACTGTGTGAACTTTGTTGCTGGCCTTCAGCGTGGGTCATTAGGTCTAACTTAGGAACGTGCTGCTCTACGTTGCATTGCTGAGGGCATTTTCTCGTAGGCCGCTTGCTTCTGGAGGGACTGCCTAG